TGATGTTCTGTAAGTGATTGATAAGTTCTCTGAGACTTCTTTCACAGAGGTTATTCATGATTCAGATGACTGCTTCTGAGTGTCTGCAGTAGAGTTCACAGAGATTAAAGTATGTGAGTTTCTAGTTCTTTCAGTCATAACAGATGATTGCTGACTGACTGAGCTTGAAATATAAGAATAAGTGCTCACAGATAATTATTCAGGTGTTTGCAGCTTGGCATGATATATACTATTAACTACTAGAAGTGTTCACAGTAGAAAGATAAATGTAGAGATTAAATATATCATAGCATTCAAGCTGAGTTGTAAATAGTATTTGCGAATTCCAGTCTATATAGTTATGTGTAGCCAAGGGCCGCTAGCCCTATTGATTACGCGAGAGATAGGAATAGAGGTAAAGGATCCGCGAGGAGCGGGATTTCTTACAAATATATATATTTTCAGATAAAAATTACATCAATCAACAGAAAATTGAAAAATTAATTCTTCAAGATGATAGAGAAATGATCTATAAGTGATATTACACAGTGATTCTATCTCAAATATTATGATTAGAGCAAATTGTTCTCACATTACTAATAAATAGAAACTGTTTTTTCTCAGACACTCTGCAAAGAGTTTGCTGGGGATGTCCCATTTAGGTTTAGTGTAAGCCCTGTGACAGTTGATTGGCTCAGATGTTAGCAGGACTTGGCAGAAAGTAGCAGTAGTTCGGATTGAGTTAGCTCGGAGTGGAGTGGCTGAGTTTACTGAGATAAATTAATCCAGTAACTTCCCCCCCACAGGAGTGGGACACGTGGCTAGTGACAGTGGTGAGGGGCCGCGGAGCCCACCGCTGGCACCGCAGCGGCACCATCCAGCGATCCGGCTACCGAATTTGGGGCCGGTTAGTGGCGTGGTTGAATCCACACCTCCTCCGATGCTCCTCAAATATATCAAAGATCGAAAACGGCGTTATTATTCACAAAGTTATGCCCGCTGAAGGCAAAGAGGCAGGCCCTTCTGGGAATTGCAAGGTGACGAGAGAAAAATAGGCAATGCCCCGTGAACACATCACTGCTAGAATAGGCTTCGGTGGCCAGTGCTCGACTTCGCTCATGATTCTTTCATGCCGTGCATATGACATGCATGAAGCTAAGTCGAGATTTTGCGGCGCGGTCAAATTTACTAATTTACTAAGAGACAAAGATTGTTCTAATACCGCGCATGGTAGTATTCAATGGGGAAATAGGGAGGGGGGGGGGGGAAAGGGAAATAAGAACTGCGAGGGAGCGTCGCTTCACGTGTTGGAAGGGAGAGGGGAGGAGGAGACCTTTTCGGTTTAGGCTGGGTTTCTATGTATCAAGGGTCACGTTGACACAAGGGTCTAGACTCCATCAGAAGTATCTGCGACGGTGCGGCCAAGACACTGCCCAGTGCCTCCTCCGTCCGAGTTAATTGAGGTGGTAACGGACCTGCATATGCGAAACGCATTGATGAGCGCTGAGAGGTGGGGGATGATGTGCATGGAGGAGAACAATATGACAGTTGCAGGCTTAGGGTGTGAGCCATGGGCCCAACACAGGTGCCCAGGAGCCATCATGCTCCGAGCATTCCATCCTAGCCGAACATTGGACGCATTTATTCCGTTTTCGCCTGCCTGACCATGTTTAAATCATCTTATCAAACCTTGCCCCGGAGCATTTTACAGCTGAACATGGGTCAGGTCGGAAACTGTGTCCAACTTCTAGCGCGGTTTCAACATAATCCTGATGCCACCAGCACTAGCTCCTTTGAGACAGCCTGACAATGCAAGAAATAGTTGATCCATGGTTTCTTCAGGGGGTTCAGGGCAGGACAGGAGTTAAGCAGGTGGCCCGCAGTGGCAGGCACCTAAATCCATTGTTCCCTCCATGAATAATAATTGGATCCGATCGTGGGGCCTCTTTGTCTGACACTTTCTCGCCTCAATAAGATCCACCTCCAAACTCTATAACCCCTCGTCCCCTGGAACGAGAACCGAAAAATTTGATGACATAAGCCATGTAGTCAATTTTAACTTCGGGACTAAACTCTAATTTAGCGCTGCCTAGCCAATACCGGTTAGCGCAAGGGGCTAACGTGATACCTAGACCAAGGTTCGACGATAAAACTCCGAGAGTCAACAAACCCAAAAGTTTCCCATGCAATCTACTGGTCGCCCGTGGCGCTCTCGAAGATATGGAAGAACAAAGCGAAGGGACTGCGGATGAACAAAATGTATGTGGATCAAGTAAAATCTCACGTCGGTCCACCCACGTAAGAAAGCTACTGGGAGCACAGATAGAATTCTGCACTTGTAAGTAGACTATCATACTGTACCGACGCCTCACATCAAACAAAGAGTTTATGTATGGGAAATATAAATGGGAATAATAATAATAATAATAGTAGTAGTAGTAGTAGTAGTAGTAGTAGTAGTAGTAAAGTTTTTTGATTTCGTTTTGGCTTGTATCAGTCTTTCGAAAGCACGCCATTTATATGGTGATGGATATTTATCCCACCATGCTGATATATAGTGTTTATAATCTATCGTCGCAAGAGAAGCAATAAAAGAATGTAGAGGCCCAATCAGAGCTGGACCTTCCGACGCCCGCATAAAAATGGAACCAAGTCATAAATGGACGCAAAATAGAAAACCCTGAAAGTCGATTGCGAACAGGGTGACAAGGCATCGTACTAGCGATGTAATGGGGAATTTATAGACGGTATCCATGGAAGGGAAGGAAAGATTTTTCGCAAAAAGGAATGTTGTGCAAAAGAACGTAGTGAAAGAATAGTAGGTGGAAAGACCGCGGCGTTTGAAAAGTTTCGAGGTTCCCCGCTAGTTCATGAATTCGCGCTGATGGCGCCGTTTCGTGCCACCTGGGCAGAGGGTCAAGGTGAGATCGGAGGAAGAGGCGCACGCATGAGTCGCGTGGTCGTCATCTGGTTTGTTGTAGGCTCCCTTGCACAGTCTGACGCCAGCTGGGCAATTGACCACTGGGCAATCGTGGGTGGTTGAGGAGAGAGAGACACCATTCTCCATAAAGGGATAGCCGTCGATATTTGAAACGTCATAAAACACCTTTTCCCCCGAAAGTGTGTACTCAAACTGGGTGATTTCACTACCACTCGTTTCGTCGGAAATTTTCAGTGAGCAGCCGCCGCCGTCTGGCTTGGCGCGATACTGTTCCGTGAAGGTGGCACCGGGTTCGATCTTATGGCTCGGCACGTTACCGTTTTCGCAGACTGACTGGAGATAAACCGGGAACGGACAATTGTTCTTAACGATAGCATTTCCTGCCAATACGCTTGGAACAAGAGTAGCGAATGCGGTGGCCGCAGCAACAAAAACTTTGGTATACATGATGAACTAAAAGTTTGTGGAAAGAATAACTGGGGTCGTATTGGTTCTCAAGAGAACGTGTGTGTAAATTTAAAATGAAGGTAAACTTTCAGGGTTCAAGAAATGATTGTAGGAATAACAATGAAGACTTGGTTAGAGCATAAAATGAATAATCGTAAAGACATGTTGAGGTGGGTTCATCGGGGTATTTATATGCAGACATCTGTGATGCGCCACCTGGATAACTCTGGGAACACGCTTCGAGCACAAAAGCGCGTGTCCAGGTTCACCAAGGCATCAACTAGTTACTGCGTTGGACATTACCGTTGGAAGATTAAACAAACTTTGAACTGACGTTCAACGGGGCGCAAGTAGAGGATATCGGTTCCTAGCCTAGCCGTAAATCCCAGGGGCAAACTGGCCTCACGAGGCAAGTGGCCTGTGGGATGCGCACACTGACCCGTAAAAATGCCAGGAGCGGCCGCAACCATGTTCAATCCTTCAAGATCAATTGGATGAGAGAGGTTGGTAGGTTATCGCCGTGAATCGGCTGCTGCCCTGAACTTTGCGAAAAACCTTGATCGAAATATAGTTTGCCCGAGTTACGAGGCATTATGTAAACCTTATGATCGTTCGTTCGTACCCACCCGTGCGTGCCATTCGATCAGACATCGGCTTCTAGGTGGGCAATCCTCCACGTATGAACATCATTGGCTTCGCTGAGTTCCTCATGATAGAATAAGTGGCAAATCTTGCAGAGAACAATCAGGAACGCTTTACCTTTGGCCAAACTATGTACCAACGAAGCCAAGCCAAGCTGCGCGAGAGCTAGATGAAAACGCTCGGTTGGAACGAGGAGTCTTGGTCTAGTACTGCGGATAACAGGGCAACATAATGTCTGGCTTCATTTCTGGGGAAGATAGTGTTTTGCACTCCTAGACATTTTCTGAAGCCGTGATAGATGAGAATAGGTTGTACTAAACTGTATTTTTGATCCCGACTCCGGTGGATCATATCAAAACTGCAAAAGGCGTTCCACTGATTGTTCTGGAACACCACGCTAGCAACAGAAGATGCCAGGAGGCCAAAGTAAACAATCAGTAGATATGCAGCCTCAAGCAATGTGAGCATGTGGGAAGGAAATTGATACAAAGAGGCAGTTATTTTGGAAATGTGTGGCGTAAGCGTCTGTTCCTCAGCGAGCTGTGCCAACTGGTAAGGAAGACAAAGAAAAGAAAAAGAAGAAGAGAGAAAAGAAGAAGAGAGAAAACATCCGGACGGGAATGTTTTACATATCAACAGAAAACAACAACATTGCTGCGAATGAACGGGCAGAAGATTCATCAAGCTCGAAACGGAACAGGTCCTTGGAGCCTCGAAAATGAAACACGTGACATTAAAAGATCGGCGTCGGCGCCACTTAAATCCGGACTGTAATAAGGTTTCTCCACAACTCCGCCATGTGCAATAAAGCTATAGGTGGTCAGTTGTTGTCAGTTGTCGTCAGGGACGCCCGCAGTCTCTACACGCCGGACCTCTGCCTCTTCTGGCTATGATATAGCAGAATAACAATTGCGGACACCCGCGAACTAAATCCACAGGGCCCGCATCGTTCTCCTGTGGCGAATCCGCATCTGGCACAGGCTGAGGCAACATGGCCGACTTCTCTACGTATCACTCCCTTGGCCAGGGCGAAGATCAGCCTGCGCCGCCGCAATTCAACCCGCCGGTTGCTCCAGGGCCCCCGGGTTACCAACAAATCCAACAAAGTACGTCTCCCGCGGGGCCCATGGGCTCTCCCGGATATCCTCCGGGATCGCATGGGCCAACAACTCCCGGCCCGGATGCAATGGGAGAATTGTCATCTCAAATGGGCGGCTTAGGGATCAGTGGAGCTATGAGCGGAAGCGTTCGTGCTCACAAGAAGAAAGATCGGCATGCTTATCACGATTTCGGTGGCCCGTCTCCTACTTCACAAGCCTTCAATGGAATGCCACAAGGCGGAATGCAGAGCCAATCGCAGTTCCTTAGTACGGGGATGAATCAACCACCTCCACCAAGCTCTCCATATTCTCATCCAGCTTCTCCAGGCTTACAACAGCCCTCACAAGCTGGACGGCCTTCTTTTGGTGGAAGCATGAAACCCTCATTTTCTGCTGCTGGCGATGGTTCCGTACATACTCAGGGGAAGGTTGACCCTGAGCAAGTTCCAGGCGTTCCAATTGCGCGTGATATTGCTGCACAATATTATCTCAACCACGTATATCCCACGATGGAGCGTCACATCCCCCCTCCAGCAGCTGTCCCTTTTGTAGCACACGACCAAGGCAATTCCTCTCCAAAGTTCGCTCGGCTTACGCTTAATAATATCCCATCTACCCTCGAATTCCTGTCGTCCACTGCCCTTCCTCTTGGTATGGTTATCCAACCTCTTGCTCCATTAGACTCTGGCGAACAACCTATCCCTGTCTTAGATTTTGGCGACGCTGGCCCTCCAAGATGCCGAAGGTGCAGAGCATATATAAATCCTTTTATGATGTTCAGATCGGGAGGTAATAAATTTGTATGCAACATGTGCGCCTTTCCAAACGAAGTTCCACCTGAATACTTTTCGCCCCTGGATCCATCAGGGGTCAGGGTCGATCGCATGCAACGCCCTGAGTTGATGCTGGGAACGGTTGAGTATATGGTTCCCAAAGAATATTGGGGCAAAGTTCCTGTAGGGCTACGCTGGCTATTCCTGATCGACGTCTCACAAGAATCAGTAACTCGAGGGTTTTTAGAAGCATGCTGTGGGGGAATAATGGCAGCCCTGTATGGGTGCGATAGCGACGAACAAGCGGCGGAGGACGAAAATACACCGACAAAGAAACTTCCTGAAGGGTCCAAAGTCGGAATAATCACTTTTGATAAAGAAGTACAATTTTATAATCTTTGCGTACGTTTACTAGCCTCGTTGTCTAAATCTCAACTGCTTACGAATTCTTAGTCCCGCCTCGAACAAGCCCAGATGATTGTCATGACCGATCTTGATGATCCTTTCGTTCCTCTGAGTGAAGGGCTATTTGTTGACCCTTATGAATCAAAGTACTAAGAAGCATAACGTTCTCCCTTTTATTTCATCATACTAACTTGTCTTTAGACATGTCATCTCATCACTATTAACACAAATACCGACATTATTTTCGCATATTAAAAATCCGGAGCCAGCACTATTACCTGCAATAAACGCCGCCCTGTCTGCTTTGGAACAAACCGGTGGCAAAATGATTTGCGCGCTAGCAAGCTTACCAACTTGGGGACCAGGCCGACTGTTCATGAGAGATGATGGAAAGGGATCGGGCACTGATGCCGAAAAGAAGCTTTTTACCACTGATCACCCTGGTTGGAAAAAGACCGCAAATAAGCTATCTGAGAGTGGAGTCGGAATTGACTTCTTCCTGGCGTCATGTGGTGGTGCCTATATGGACATAGCTACGATCGGTAAGTTCTACGCTCATGGGTTTGCCGGCATATGCTAAGTATTTTTTAAACAGGCCATGTTGCTGCAGTTTCCGGCGGGGAGACCTTCCTATACCCTAACTTCCATGCTCCTCGCGATGTCTTGAAGCTATCAAATGAACTTTCTCATGCTGTAAACAGGGAAACGGGTTACCAGGCTTTGCTAAAAGTCCGATGCTCCAATGGACTTCAAGTCTCATCCTATCATGGTAACTTCGTGCAGCACACTTTCGGTTCAGACTTGCAATTAGGCAGTATTGATGCAGACAAGGCCTTTGGTGTTGTCTTCACGTATGACGGAAAGCTTGATACGAAACTAGATGCTCATTTCCAAGCTGCATTGTTGTACACTACAGCTAGCGGCCAGCGACGAGTAAGATGCATCAATATTGTTGCGGCTGTCAATGAGGGCGGGATGGAGACGATGAAGGCAATTGATCAGGACGCTGTGGTTAATATAGTGACCAAAGAAGGTTTGTTTGAATTATGTCATAATGTAGGAAGTAATACTAACTTGGGATTCACAGCTGCCTCTAAAGTGCCTGATAAGTCACTTAAAGATATCCGAGCTGGGTTAACTGAAAGGACGATCGATATCCTTGCGGGCTACCGAAAGAATTTCTCGTTGTCCCATCCTCCTGGGCAGCTTGTCCTACCAGAGAATATGAAGGAGTTTTCTATGTATATACTGAGTTTGGTGAAATGCCGCGCTTTCAAGGGTAAGCACCAGCTTTTCGGCGACATAAACGAGATATATCTGTACTACTTATTTGGCATAAAGTTTCATTCTGACATCAAACAGCCGGCCCCGAGACTTCCGATCGTCGAGTCCATGATATGCGGATGCTTCGCTCTTTCGGCTGCAATGAACTGTCGCTTTATCTATACCCTCGTATTATTGCGATTCATAACCTTAGCCCAGAAGACGGCTTCGCCAACGAGCAAGGGAAACTCCAAGTTCCTCCAGCACTCCGAGCATCCTTCTCCCGTATTGAAGAGGGTGGTGCCTACCTCGTGGATAATGGCCAAATTTGTTTACTTTGGATTCATGCCCAAGTTTCACCAAATCTTCTCGAAGACCTGTTTGGCCCCGGTAAAACAACGCTACAGTCTCTCGATCCCAACACTTCGTCCATTCCTCTGCTGGAAACTCATTTGAATGCCCAAGTGCGGAATATTATTCAATACCTCTCCACCATTCGCGGCTCCAAGTCGGTAACAATACAGCTTGCACGGCAAGGGATAGATGGCTCTGAATACGAGTTTGCCAGGCTTCTTCTAGAAGACAGAAACAACGACGCCCAAAGTTACGTTGACTGGCTAGTGCATATTCACCGGCAGATCCAACTTGAGCTTGGAGGTCATCGCAAAAGGGAGGAAGGCGGTTCAGCAGTCTCCGGGGTGGAAAGTACGTTGTCTGGATTAAGCGGATTACGGCCGCCATACTGGTGATTTGGGCGGAGTTTAGCATAGCACGTTTATGAATTTATAAGAGTTTCGCGATTGCAAAGGCATTCATTATTGTTACCATTATTGATCCATATCCGATATATGCCAAGCATGATGTAAAGAGTATTTCAGTCTGCTACAGACACAGAACATACCAGATCTTGTCTATGGCGCAATGCAAGGTTTGAATGGCTGGTTCAGAGGGGGATTCGCAAAATCTGATGCCAGGTACCCACAAGAATCGTCGAGCCTTTACTCTAGCGCCGCACACTCGAAAAAGCACATTAGCAACATATGCAATCTCGTCCGAGTATAAAAGCTCTTAATCATGTTTATACAAGTGTTAAGTTTTGTCGTTTTATATTTTATGTAGCTTTTCGCATAGGTGCGATATCACACCCACACTAAATACTATATGTATTGTATGTTATAGGTACATGTACTTTCAACTAAGGAATAAAGGATGAGGGACATGTTTCAACTGCGAGTACAACGGTTTATATAGTTGTTAAATTATACCTTAAAACTTTTGTACAGTACTTCGTACAAGGTTTATTGGCATTGGTCAAAAACTTAAGGGAGATTAAAATATCATGTCACATTTGAGTGTTGGGTCTTCATTTCTCTCTCTTGCTCCCTCTCTCTTCACCAACTATGTCCGGCCTCGTTCGGATGTGATATCTAATTCCACAACGTTGGATACGAAATTCCTGTACCGCTTACACTTAATATTCACATTCCATACATATTTTCCCACACTGGTGGGCCGGAGCAAATGCTCAGCTCATCTTCACAGCTCGCGCTTCGCATGATATACCAACGGACTCTGTTCATCCAACAGTGCACAGGGCAGCGTTCGCAAACACTACTACCTCAAGTTTGTGAACTGGTTGAGAAGAAGTGGCACGCTCACTCGAGGAAGCGGGAAGTCAAGGCCAGCCTCAAATTTCTCTTCCCGGCCTTTATTGAATCTCCCACTAAAACTGCTCCTCAAGATCAATGCTCCCCTCGCTCTCACATGCTAGGTCAATTTCTGAAGAACTGTGATAACTTCAGTACAGAGATGGGGATCATTTCACCTGTTAGAGAATGAGAAATGGCACTGCTAATCTACCCATCTCAAATTTCTCCCAACTAAGCGGCCCTCTCAATAGAGGTGTACTCTGGGAACGTGGGCATTGTTAATCTTTGTCTACGCCAAAATATGACTCTCTGGGATAAAACAAATTACGGAGAAGGTGAAGGCTGCTAATATGGTTGATCCCACATATCGATTTACATGTCACGAAATAAACAAGTGCGCTCATCAATGAACATGATGAGCTATTCTTTTACACACAATAGTTATGCAGTGTTTGTTCGTGGGCTGGAGCTAAACGGTTCCATTAAACATCTAAGGGATGGGGCACGCATGCAGATGACTCCTGGCAGTATCAAACTGCGTATCTATCCTTTGTATCCATCTTTCTAGAGTGGTTTTGAGGATGTGCCGTCTCGAATACAACATTACTACAATATGCGCGCCCATATGCAGCATTCGCTAAAATAAGATACTTGACATCCTGAAAGCGGTTGTTGTTTCTGCCTTCCTACGTTCACAAAGGACAAATCCTACCGCTGGCCTGCAGCTCTCGATACTCTACTTACGTCCAAGGGAATTTATCCTGGAAAAGAAACAACTCACTGGCTTGGACCAATCCCGACGCCATGCGGAGCAGGGGGTATATCACTGTTACAACTCCCTCATTGGATTCCTGGATGCTGATATCGACCTTCTTTGTCAGCCCTCGAGCCAATAGCCGATTCGGGATTATTGTAGGATATTCTGAGGTCACTTGTTGTATCTTAACATAGCAGAAGGAAAGAGACTTGGTCAGTCAACCCTTGCATTACCATTTTATCAGCACGGGAATTCTGCAGCAGACATTAACAGCCACCGGATTTATTCTCTCTTCAGGCTTGCTTATTGCATATGTGAGTCCATCCATATCAACAAGATACCAGAACAAATACCTTCTGGCCTGACGTATGCGCCAATAGGGGTGACTTTTCGTGAGAAAAATTAAAGACAATGTTGAAATAAGCTCTTCTCTTTCGGCCATCGCCTATTTAAATTAGCACCGCCGCTACTGGACAGTATGACGACCAAAATATTCAAATTATTTTTCACCAAGGAGACGGGAACCATTATCATGGAAGTTCAAAAATATTTAGGCCGCTTTCGTTATGTTCTGCAACAAATTTTTAGTGCTAATGTTGGTCTAGCCGACATCAAATGCACCCGGGGGCAGACAAGTGACTTGCATATGCATGAACTCGCTGGAATACGAGTTTTATTTCCCAAATCTTCGAAGACCAAGTTACCCAGAGGCTCAAAGTCAAAATGTTTCGGTTCTTAAGATAAAATAAAAATAAAAGAGGGGAAGGGAAAGGAAGAATATGAAAAGGAGAAAGACGAATAAGAATCCCCACTTGAAGCTGATGAAGCTATTCATCCCAACAACCATAAATGGGAGAAGCGACGATATCAATCGACTATCTTTGACTATTTTGCCTCAGCCGAGAACAGGATTGGGCTTTGGGGAACCTGCCAATTGCCCCAAGGCATCACGCCGCCTTAGAGAATGAGTCAAGGCCGAATGGGATTGATCTTTTCTCTTTTGACCGCTATTTCAATCCCGCCATCCTGGGGGCCTCTACCGCATCCGTTGATGTTAAAGATTCGGGCTGACATTATATTTTAATTTTTTGGTGGAAAGCAGCCAAGACATTCATGGAGTGAGCTCTTTCAATAAAAAGAAAAGGCGAAGAAAAGATAATCCGAGTCGACGAGTAGAAAATGCACATAAATGTTCGCCCATAACAATTCCAGAAGATGATATGCCACTTCTATCTCCAGCATGGAAGTTCCTCTCGGGGATAAGCACGGAATACCCCACTTTTAAACTTGAGAATCCTGAAACTTGTATGGTTGAAATATGGAGCTCCGATTTCCGCCTGGTTCAAGAAGCTAATTCACCTGAGCAGAGTAGAACCCCCTGTGACGGTTGGAGAGATTGAGACGCCCGATTATCATTTCTGAAGAGCGATTATCGGTTCTCCTACTAATGAAAGGTGGGACATAAAAAGAAGCCGCGGTTCTTCGAATGACGTCAAATTCTCCGGCTCTTGCCTTGGCCAACGGCGCGCACCGTACGCGGACCGGACCGGACGCAAATGGTATTTTAGCACGAACAATCATCGAACGCGAGCTCCTAGCCCAAACACAGCCCACAGGTCATGATGCCTGACCATTTGGCTTCGCCGAGGATGCTCAATCTATCGCCGCCAGTCAAAATTCTGGAACAGCGGTTGTTGGGGTACAATCCCTCTTGAGCGCGGTGTTTCATCCTATAGAGAGATGGCTGCGAGAAATTTCTTCCTACACCTCGCGCTACTGATCTTGGTGTGGCTAGTTAATCGTTAGTAACTCATGCCCTTTGTCTCGGCAGTTGAGTAACTAGTCATGATGAATGAAAACTATAATGGCGGGGGAGCGTCGGGAGGGAGGATTGGAGCCTTAACTTCCGCAGCTGTCGCAATTTCCAAGCCTAACTAAACTCATTCTCCTCGCATTTCTAAACTCCCGCCGCGAGAGCTGATCCTAAGGCTAATTCTTCAGAATCCCCCATTGTGCACTATCTTCGACCATTGACATCTGTGGGCAACCTCTAATATGACATTCGCAAAAGAGCAAGGTTGAAGATATCAGGGTGGTGGGCAAAATGCTTAGGCCACAAAATTCTGTGCTCTCAGGGCCACCGCCCAACCAGTGGTCAAAAACCCGAGAAGGCCATCATCCCTGCCCCGCCAACATTTGTTCTCCAATCGCACGCCAGAGAGAATTGCTTTTTCACAGCTACCATGGACGACGGCTGCCCCGTTGGCGTAGCATGTCAAGGGTTGAATAATAATGATACCGGTTCATTCAGGGATTTGGACACTGTCCAACCCAACCTCCTCCTCACCGGATCTCACCACGCATTGGGATCTCTGCTGGCCCTTTGGATCATTTGATGCCGAAAGCGGCTCCATATCCCTCCAAACAACCCGGCATGGTCTTGAGTGGTGCTAGTTTCTCCCCTTAGCCAGGTCTGATTGACGACAAGAGGTCTCTTGGAGGTCGAAGAGCGGTAAGTCAAAAGCTTCAAATTAAAAGACCGTCGCATCAGACAAGCTACACTTTTCCTCGCCTTGCCTAAATTTCTTTTGTCTATTTATTTTATTTTTTGTTAAACTCGTAATATCCCCGCCGGATGTAATCCGTGACTAAATATGTCTTTGATTCTAAATAATGAACAGCAATCAAACGGAAACAGTGGACCAGGAACGAGGGGCAACCAGCTACCTTCTAAAGGGTACCCAGGAGGTGGTTCGGCGATGGCTACGATACAAGACGATGATGAACGACTATTGGCACGAATAGGGTACAAACAAGTGGGTGTTGTAGCAACTCCTTAACTGTCGTTCGCGTCTTAGCGGAGCCTGGGATTTTCTGACCAATTCGCCCAGGAGCTGAGGAGAGAATTCTCAAAATGGTCTACAGTTTCATACGCAATCTCTATCCTTGGAGTTCTCGGTTCTGTTCCCGCAACATTCGGCCCCCCTTTAGCCGCGGGCGGCCCCGCGACTGCTGTATGGTGCTGGTTTATAGGATCATTCATGGCAATGTGTATTGCTAGTTCAGTTGCTGAACTTGTCTCAGCATACCCCACGGCGGGGGGTATGTATTTTGTGACAAAGCATGTTGTGCCTCCAAATCAAGTTGCTATATTTTCCTGGATCCAAGGCTGGTGCAACTTGCTTGGACAGACTGCTGGTGTATCTAGCGTTGCGTACACCGTAAGCCAAATGCTACTGGCATGCGCAAGCATGAACTCTTCTCTAGAAGGAGGAGAATACTCATATTCGCCGTAGGTTTCCCTTCTACCCTTTTCTGACTTGCCGATGCATTTCTCACCACCATTCTTGTACCCTGCTGCATCTCCCGTCATATACGCTGTATTATCATGACGGGACGTAAAAGCTCCTCCACTGACCACGCGCACAGGAATGCCCATCAAACTGTGCTCCTGTCCATTGCATTACTATGCGTAATGGGCACTGTGTGTTCTCTAAGTACCAAAAGTTTACACAAAATTGTACTGTGGTTCGCTCCAGTCAACAGTATGGCTCCTAGTCCGGATGCTTTTTTAAAAGAGATCTCCATCTTATTTCTGATTTATAGTTATTGCGTCAATCGCTATCTGCATTGCGCTCTTAATCCTCACGCCCGATAAACAATCCGCCAAGTGGGTATTCACAAATGTGACAGATGGCTCCGGATGGAATTCCAAAACGTTTTCTTTTCTTTTGGGATTTATATCCGTGGCTTGGACAATGACCGATTATGACGGGACGACTCAGTAAGTGGGTTAGTTGTACTGGTGCACTATTAATCAATTGCTAAGAGCAATGCCAATTTAGCATGTCAGAAGAAACCCATGACGCTGCCATACGTGGCCCAATCGCTATTCAATTAGCCATCGTTGTATCAGGAGTATTTGGATGGATGTTGACCGTGACGATGTGCTTCTGTTTATCCGATTTGGATAAAATATTGGATTCGCCCACTGGCCTGCCGGCTGCCCAGATCTTTCTTAATGCCGGTGGCCGAACAGGTGGGACAATAATGTTCTCATTTTCTATTCTTGTTCAGTTTTTCACAGGTTGCTCGGCCATGCTTGCAGATACCCGAATGGCCTATGCTTTCGCACGCGACGATGCACTTCCTTTCTCAAAGTATGGAACTTCTTCCACCTGCCTTTTACAAGCTTATTACGTTCGTGCAATCGTTAACTATTAGTAGGTTTTTTGCGAAGGTAAACCCCTATACATTGACCCCTGTCAATGCCGTCTGGTTTGTGGTCTTCTTTAGTATTTGCCTCAATTGCATCGCCATTGGATCTACAGAGACGGCCACTGCTATATTCAATATCACAGCGCCTGCGCTTGATTTGTCATACATTGCTGTCATCCTAGCCCACCAAATATACAAAAATCAAGTGCAGTTTATCGAAGGACCGTTTACACTTGGGAAATGGGGGACACCCTTGAATATCATTTCTATCGTCTGGGTTTTATTCATAAGCGTGGTCCTTTTCTTCCCGCCCACGAGGCCGATCACGCCAAAGAACATGTAAGGACAATGTCCGAAGAGGATACTCAAAACCTTGTTCTAACGGTGTACAGGAACTATGCAATATGCGTGGCTGCATTCATAGCCCTATTTGCACTCTCGTGGTGGTGGCTATCTGCCAGGCGGTAAGTGGTTGCAACCTCCCACTTGGGTTCATGTCATGTTTTGAAAAGTATACCTTTTGACGTTAGTATATTAGGAAATACACGGGACCGCGTACGAAGGATCTTCTCCAAGCAGTCGAAACTGAAGACCTCGACGTCCCCTACGGTACCACGGCTGGTTTTGATGCCTGAAAAATCCCACGACCTTCTGGGCATATCTTTCGCATATCCTCCATTTTCTCCGAGTTTTTCAATATTCCTTTCTCTAAGTAACCATGAGTTTTTATGTTTTGGCTCTGCTCCTTTAGGGGTATTAGCGGAACGGATCTTTCCTAGCGTTGGTTCTGATTGATATAGAAGATTTTTGGATTAATTACAACATCCGCTTATCTATTTCCTACATACAAAGAAGACAATCCCTTTGCGTCAGTTTTTCACTTAACGACACTAAGAAGTGCTACAAGGATGCTGATTTCTTTCCTATCCCACTTGCGTACGCGGGTGAAGAGGGCTAGGGTATATGTCTCCAAAACGGCATCAAGATGGAACTGCTCGTACCGGCCAATTTCTTTGAGCCTTTTGTTCCCTGCCACATAGAGAAGGGAACTTGTCGGTGATGGCCATCTGGACTTACGTGATTTCATGATTAGATCACAGTCTAGAAGGACAATTGATTGGCTGTAGCGGGCAAAAAGTAGGGCAGAAGATTGGGGTACGAGCGAATTTAGATCACCGGGACGTTTTAGATCCGCCCACATTGTCGTTCGGAATATCCACAAATCCTGCTCTGGTCATTTTTCTTCCGCCAAGTCCCCTCAACATTCAATGACATAACTACCATTCAAGAGATTCCTCTATTGGAAGGCATCCTGCGCCTTACTTACGCCAATTTCGACGGGATGAGCACCATTGATCATATCTCATTGCTGGCCATATTTTCGTTTTTGTTTCAAGTGCAGAAGTGAGCGTCTAGGAAAAGAGTTTCGACATCAAGCAAGCTCATGCAGGAAGCACTGGCTTGATCTCCATGGAAAATACCAGGCTACATCCGGTATATATCAAAAGCTTACCATCTGAACAGACGGTGAGTTTATGCAAGCTCAGTATGCACGGTTTTCTAAGACATCTCGCCCATTGGATGGTGGACATTCAGTTCCCTATATTATAGCCGGGATGCTTCCGGTGTCCCCTTCGAGATGATTACATACGGCCGCAATACCCAATCTACGATGGAGGGCGGGTGGTAAGGGAACTGGTGCACCTCTCTTAGCAACTACAAGCCCTGTTAAAATATGCGGACGATTATATGCAAGCGGGTAATTTGAAAGGCTGGTGAGTAGCTGCCATAGACTAAACGAAGGTATGCAGCGCTAAACTTCCCAATGGTTGAAAACTATCAACGGGTGTGAGCTTAGCTGGGGAATCGAAAAATTACGCTGGGTTAGTAGACTCACTTCTAAATGCTAGAGTTTGTAATGGAAGTGTGATGGTGCATCCTTCTGTTCGACATGGGGAAGAAAACTAAATGAAGAAGAAATCTGTATGCTCGGTGTCTTTAAGTGTTGCATCATGAGAACATTTGTAACAGCGTGGATATGCCGGTGTTTAGGGGCCCTCCAGGAGAAAAAACCCGTCGGTTGACTGAGCTTGGGGCATGGTGAGATGGAGGGTGAAAGTGATGCGATATTTCATATTGTCGCATGGCATATGAGACAAATCAAACTAGAGAGGGGAGAGTTAATTCGCTGGACAGCCCTGATAGTTCTTTCGGAGAATAACTACTGTGGAAACATTTCAAGCATCTTACAGATCATGGGAGCTAATGATAAGCCCAGATGAAGATGAGGTACAAGAGAGTAAATTTTCAATTCTCCGTATCTTTTTCTCTCTGGTTAACTTAGTGCAAATGCCAAATTTGAGGCTGACCTTCCAGCAGATAACTTTAACCAACAAGTAGTACCGCAGTCCGTCATGGTGTCACAGTGCATTTGTTGCAGAAGGATTTGAAGTCTGTGATGTCAGTGTGGTCAAGGTGTATACAAAAAAAGGCGGAGTCGAGGTAAATTGGCAGTACGCAGTAGGAACGACCAGCGTTATGAGGACTAGTAAACTATGTGACCGAGTTCACCATGTGTTTCTTGACTGGCTGATTAGTTACTCGCCCCTTTTCTGTTTTTGTTTTTCAATACTCCAGGTGAGTAGTTACAACGTAGGGGTTGTTAAGGTAATGGTCAGGATAACAGACCCTAGATTATTTAGCTTCATCATTGTCCACAGGAGGATAGGTGTGATGATTCAACCTGAATGTTTGTTAACTACCTCATCTGGAAGCTTGGTAGCCTGATGCACACTGGTTGGTTTTGAGTGGCTTGTTCTTCCCGGCGCTGTGCTATGTGATAGTTAACTTATAACTAACTACTCCGTAGCCCGTTAGGCGATAGCTATCTAATTATTAATGGCTTCACTAGGGCGTCTTGGTCTGCCTCACTTGGTCGATTCTTACACATGAAGAGATTTTGTGCCGCCCAAATACGACATATCCCTAAAGCCCTGAGCTCTTGACTACGTTCGTGAGAAGGCAGCTAGAGCTATCGGCTATGATGGCGGGTTGTTTAGTCAATAGTTTTTTGAGATTGAATAACCGTGGGTATCGTGCTGGACCCTGGGAGTTGAAATCGGAGGAAGCAGACGAAGCAGCTGTAAGGAAGGATTTCGGGGCCGACATGAAGCAAACTAGCTGCGTAAAAGGCGAGGCTTCTGCTCATCAAGGCTTCGGAGCTTCGGAGCTTCGGAGCTTACTTAGAAGCAATAGCGAGAACAAATATGCTCATAGGTATCCATTATTCGAGTATGGGTCTCGTGGGGCTGTGAATAAAGGAAGCTGGGAACACTGGGTTGAGGAAGTTACACAGGACATAGAGGGGACAAACTATATAAGAAGAAGATAAAGAACGCCGATGCGACAGGTTTTCTTTTCACCCACCCTCTAGATTCAATACAGAGACCATTTTTAAAGGGGTTGTCATATCATAAGGCTCTCTTTTTCCCCTGAACCAAAATCTTGAAGATAATACCATTGCTATATGAAATTTATGAAATAAAACAATAGTGTAAGGCTTTCGATAAATATCAGAATTGTTGTCCCAGATTTTCAGGCTAATATAGAAGTAGTATACAGCGTTGGAGTGGGTTGCCCGCCGGACAAATATAGAACACAAAGAACCCAACAAAGACAGCCAACGCAGAGTTAAAATCTGCAATAACATCATAACATGACATATAACTATACGCAGGACACAGAAAATAACATGAAACCAAAAAAAAAAAAAAAAAAAAAAAAAAAAAAAAAAACAAGAAAAAAAAAGAGCAAAGTCAGTCAAGTTAGATCAGGGGCATGTTAGAGAACTGTTGGCAAAATGATGCATAGAGAAACACAGTGGACAACATATTTTTACAACCTGGAGAGACAATAAATCAAAGAATTCCAAATGTGAAACCAGGTAACCTAACTCCACGCTTCAGAGTCTGCTAGGCTCGTAGACAGTTAAAACAAAATATAAATAATAAATAATAAAAATAAAAATAACACATAATAATAAAAGTAACGAAAAGAAAGGTCAAAATAGAAGCCTAGTAAAAGCTGATGGAGCTGGCAAGCCAAACTGGGTTTGCATTTGCCTTCCGGTGTTCATTCCATCCAACTTGTGCAAGAGTTTTGCCTACCCTGTCTTTCATGGCCTGAGCTTCTCCTTTCCCTTCTCCAATGAAATATTCTTCACCCCTAGTAAAAACGGTCGCACCCCCGTTGACCGCTTGCTGGCATTCGACGACTCCGCGGCCCTTTATATCATCGCCTTGAGGGCATACTTGTCTAATAAGGTCCGCCACGGTCATATTCGTAGGAGCCTGGTACGTCACGAACTCGATAATTCCATCTTGTGAATCCCAAGGGTAGTATGTTGTGCAGCGGAATAGATGGATGGTCGTGTTCTTGGGAGGGAATAGATACCCATGTCCTCCAGATAGAACCAGTGGTTGGTCGTCTGTACCCGGAATATTACCGCCGTGGGGGTTTTGGAAGCTGGGGCCTGAGGGAGCGGCAGGGGTGACAGGGGCAGCGGGAACGGGAACGGGAAAAGGAACGGGAGCAACAAGGGCTGCAGGGGGTGTAGCAGCCGCTTGGGCTACAGGTACCTGCATAGAAAACTGCTGCGCTTGTTGGGGTTGGAAATGAAACATGTCGGGAGCGGGGACTGCGTGGACATTAGGTAAGGCGATAGACTAGTTGGAGAGGGTGTAGGAGCCCATACCTGGAGAGAACAGTGCTGGGCCAAAAAATGCTTGGAGAGGTGCTTGTAAAGGAGGTGGTTGTGGAGTAGGTCCTGGTAAAACCATTGGAAATACTGGCACAGGAAATGGTGGGGGCTGCACTGGTGGAAAATCCCCCATGTTCGGTGGCATTCCTCCATTCGGAGGTTGTCCATCCATAGTTAAATAGCGGATTTCGGCCATTATAGAACGTGGGAATATATGTGCCACCTCGGGACAGGCAATAAAGAGGATGGCTATTTATGTAAGTAAAGTTCATCGAAGGGGCGCCCCAGGACACCAGGGAACCAACCTATAATAGTATCAAGGGAAGTATAGATGTAGCAAGCTTGTACACTGTATGAACCGACTCTTCTTGATCTCGAGGAAAAAAAAGGTAAGAAGCACGGCGCTAGGGAAAGAGGAACGTATGGATATTTATAGTCTTCATGGAGATCATGATTGAGCTCTTGCAAACACAACTTGAACTTCACAACCAATGCAATAGGTGATAAGACAAGTATTTGGCAAGTGGGCATCTTCACCCACAGAAGTATCAAAACACTGTACAGAGAGAGCTTCTTTATCCTCACAGATTGACTTGTATCAAAAAGTGAAAAGGGTAAAATCTGATACAAGAAAGAAATCTCTTTGTGAGCAGGACAAACCCCTGGTTGTTCTGTGAATGAGAAAGCCAATAACAACAAAACAGCATATAATAAAACACGTTGTTAATAAATAATAATTCAATGGGGAACACCTTTGGATCTCGAGAATCATGTTTGGATATCAAACACACGAGACCAAGAACAACGTAAAACGGGGGGAAAAACTTTAAAAATAAAATAAAAATGGGATCCTCTGGTAAATGACTGGAGAAAAGGAAAATGATTTATCCACCTGCAACGATTGCCAGGCCTTCATAAATTTTCCTCTTGACTGCTAGAAAACTCCCTTCACTCTTCAAAGCCGAAGGGTTAGACAGCGCGGATTGAGCGGCGCCTTCAATTTCAATTTTCCCTGTCCCAGATTTCCGCACAGCAACAAACCCATCAATTAAAAGCGTGCCTTCACCACGAAATTCCGCGGTATGGCCTGAAGATTGCATAAGTTTGCGAAGATCGGCTAACCGGAGGTCCCCAACGTGAAGTGCTCGAGTCACGGATCTTGTTGCCGCAGCCATTTTGACCGGTAGAACATCTAGAAGTGGGAGAGCGTTCTTGCTAGGAACCAGTTGCTTTTGTTCATTCCCTCCAGTGCTAGGAGCATTGTCCGGTAACAACCTTTGCTTCTTTTGAGACACCTCTGGGGCATCTTCATCAGCAGCCGTAAGTTCTGGTGCTCGTAATTCTCCTGTGAGAGCGACAACCCCTAAACTTCTGACGTTTTGCCACTTGAGCCGTTTAACCAAAGCACTGCTTAGCTTAACCATCCAGGCGTTTGTGTCCACGCTGGCGTCAACTGTTTCACCAATCACCGGTGTGAATATGTCAACAGCAGCTTGACTAGACGGCCCTAGGTCTACGGCGGCCTTCCCTGTTAATAGATTCCGACATTCAGCGGCGAGGGCCAATGTTTCTTCCCTGAGACCTGCGGTCAATATTAATTTTCTAGGTTGTATGAGTGGGATGAGCATTTCCAAGCTACGCTTGTCATGCAACCCAGAGAAATCTACGAAGGCGATACGAGCATTCAGCTCCAGGGTAGAATAAGTAAATGTAGCCTTGGAAGGCCCCTCGACGGGCTGTTCTTCAGCTTCCTCTTCAGATGCACTTGCATCTTCGGTGCTGATAGCGCCAATTCCACTAGGAAGTGCTAATTCTGCGTTGGCATCTTGTAAATCTCGGGAGCCAGACGATACATGTTGCCGTTTATTTGAAACGATTGCCGGTTGATTTCCGTTGGCGTTGACATCGCCCCACCTTCGCTTCTGACCAGGCCTCGTTTGAATACGGCCATCTGGACCACGCTTTGTTTGCATTTCGGCTTCTTCGCGTTCCTCAGCTCTTAGGTATTCTTCTGGACGTATAAACTCGCCGTACTCGTCTCCACGTTTTCTTGGAGCAACGTAGGGAAACATCCGTTCTCTGCCCTTCTTACCACGGACATCGTAATCATGAACATGCTTTCGTCGTAGGAGAATATTTACTCCCAAGTCGGCATCGCTTAAGCCTAATTTATTCTTATTGGAATGAGCGAGAGAAACCGAAAAGTTTAGCACTTTGCCTTGTTGTTCTGAGTCTGAATCCTCGGAAGAGGACGAGCTGGACCCATCATCAAGTGGATCGGCCGCGGTTTCTAATCCAGAGTCTCCCCTTCCCTGTGTAGTGTTCTGCAATTGCCTTCTTGTTGCTAGGTACTGCTGATAGACAAGTAAGTCATTGGCATCCAGAGGAGCTTTCTCAACATCGGTGACGGTTAGCATCCTCCCGCCGCTGTGGACTTGCTCCAGAAGCTCTCCGCTAGGGGCCTTTTCTAATGCAACTCCGTCCTTTCGTTCTTCATAAATCGACCATATCTCATGAGCCAGCGAGGTCGTAGAACGTCCGTCGTCCATCATTTCCTTATTAGCAGAAACTGAGAATGACTCTGTCAAAATAACAAGATTCTCAGATCCGGTTGCTATATTTTGAAGGACATGCTTAGAATATCCCCAATCGAGTGATGTGTCAGATGTTAAAATTACTTTAGGCGTGTTTGATCCTAGTATCTTGTCAAGTTTGGCCTTGCGTTCCACGATTTTAAGATACTTGAACGTAAATGGACCGAGAGCTTTGAATGCACCATCGCCTCGTTTATCTGGCATACCCGTTAACGGATTTCGCTGACTCGGGCCGTCCTGGCGGCCTTTACCGCTGACAGCGACAGGATCACCATGGCCAGCCTCGAATTCACGGACAATGCCCTCGTCCATCCATTCAAGCATACTTCGTGTCAGTCGCATTGTTCCATGAGCTTTTTTTCCGGCTAGATAAAGTGCCCCGCTTTTCAAGGGGTCCGCCCCGTCTGCCGTCTCTGCCGATTCTCGCCACGCGTGTTCCAAAACATATGCCAACTCAAGGGCTCGCGCGCTGGTGTCGGTGGGTATTAAAACCGTTCCGCCTTTGGAGAAGCTGCTCCGAATCATATCCAAGAGAAGATCATCCCTTCTCTTTCTCCCGCCTAAAAGCGACAGTTTGTCCCCTCCCCTTGTACTGCAGACAAACGCAGTCGGCTTCCTCAGCTGCTCAACGACCTCTGTCCCACTTGCACCCGAACCTCCAAACCAGGCTGCCCCGGCAATAACGTTCTCTCTTGCTTGGTTCCAGTCGACAGCGTATATAATTGATTCCATACCATGTTGAATATGCCATATGGTACCTCCAACTGTATGGCCAGCGTTATACGCCGTGAGGGTCAGGCCGTTGAGCGGAGGAGAAAACGGGGACGGCAAAGGTTGGTGCGGCTGGGAATATTTCAGGGGATGAATGAGTGAGAAATATCGGGCAATCTCTTCTGACGTGGGGGGAGGTAAAAGTATACCGGGGGGCTCGTCATGGTCGACATTTGTAGTATCAGCTGAACGCGTAGCTCTCTTGGGTACCGGTGAAGGCGGAGATAAATCCCCCGATGTAGCTTTCGGTAAAAAGGTAGCAGCAAGCGGTGCGGAAGCATAAAGCTCTTGAAGAAGTGTACGGCCTAGGGCAATGACTGGACTGGTTGCATAAATGGGGATCTGAGTAAATAAAGGAAAGTGTTTACAGCAATGTGCAAATGCACCAATGTGAGAGGGCGTTGCATGGGTCAGAAGAACGAGCGAAAGAGTGGGGACTTGTCTAATCGCGCTCGCAGGGAGGAAGCTGAGGTTAGAAAGATGGAAAACTAGGTGATATATCGCCTCCTACAATCGTCTTTCATATGAGGTACACAAGGAGAAACCTACTTTTCCAGCTCCGCAAGGGCGGATACATCAAAACTTTCATCCCAACCGACATCAACCAGAATCTTAACTCCACCATCGAGCTCTAGAATTGACTGAACAGCTCTCGAGCTTGATGATTGCGCCCCGAGCAAAGGGGTAAATGTAAACATGTTCTTCGCGGTGATCGAAAACCGAAACAAAGTTCAGTTAGGTTTCGTAGCGGAAGAGGTCAATTTATTGGGCAGGATGAATGAGTTTCATGAGCTTGTGAGGGAGATCGAGTGCGGAGCCGAATCAAACTAGGTGAATGGAGAAGAGAGAACTTGAAAGGATCAAGGGCGCCGCATCATTGTTGCATATAAGACACCTTCCTTAACAAAAAATCAGTATAGACGAGGATATAAATGTTGTGTGAAAACGGAAGAACGTGGAACTGGTTAAATCCAACCGGGAATGAAGGCAAGACTATCCATATTCTTTTGATATACGTCTCTTGGGCGGACGCGGCTCTTTTTCAGAAGCTGATGAGGGTGTTTGGCTTGTTTGCACTTTCAATCACGTGATTATCGTTTGCAGCGTTTGCTTACGTCTATCCAACACTACCTGTAGTAACCTTTGCCCTTTAGATTAAGCTCGACGCAAAACTCCTGCCGGTACGGGAATAGAAGCACTGGTTCAGTTAACTACTCTTCTAAGATGTTATTCTTGAATTTTTGGGTGTGGGAAAAATAACGACTACAGGCTTCTATATAGTTCTACCCAGTTTTCGGTCTAAATGTACAGGGAAACAAAGAAATTATGTGAGAAGCATTCAGATCAGGCATCAGACCACTTGTGTTTGGCAAGTGTGTAGCTATAGAAGTTGGGCACGAACCCACCACAAATTTTGAACTGCTCGAACTTGCGATAGGCTCTGGTTTTTCAGTGAGAGTGATTGAAATTGGAAACGCATCGTTGACATGCCCAGGGATCTTGTTGTTGTGGAACTGTCTGCATTGCTAGCAAGTAGAAGAGTAGAAGCGCTCTCACGATGAAAGTCCATCCCGTACGACTCTCAAAGCCGATGGCTTGCCAATGTAGAAGACTTGAAATATTTACAGATACTCTGACTTATTTAAGACAACAATGAGCCCATTTACTCCGCAAAATTAATGTCAATTCTGAGATCTTCAGCGAACCCAGCCTTCTCGCGGTAAATGGTGCTTCTGGTCCAAAACGCGGCCGCCCTTTGTGACAGGTTAAAAAAAGATCAAAGTAGCACCGCTGAAGAAACTAACTCAAAGTAGCGCAATCTGCTGTCACACAAAAAATCTAAAGGTTCTTGAAGCCAAATTAATCTCGATTTAGATGCTACGCTGTTGGTTGGACTTCCGTATCGTAGTTTTAAATAACACCTGAGCTCGGGAGCAGGAGTACAGTAAGATACGAGATTCGGACCAAGATGAACAGAAACCAGCTCGAAGAATCTTGCCAAAGTGTTTTCAAATATAGCTACAGTTGAGCAGAGCTTGGAAAAATCTTCACAAGATAGTATAACTTTATGCTAGCGTCACAAATTAAGTTTTGTCGGGCCGAACCGCGCTCACGTGGATGAGCCTAATCAGCCCAGCCCCACTTAAGATGTGACCGCCACACCACCGCACCTTCATTGCTTCGCATCAGCGGAAGAATTCCTGCAATTTTATATCCATCCTTCAATATATGTAGCCATTCGAAAAACCAAATAATCTAGTCAGATTCTCCCAAATAAAGTCGACAAAAAGAGATGCGCTTGCTTGGCGATGAAACAACATCGCAAACCCAGCAAAACCCTAAAGCAAGAAGATGAGTGTGATGTTGAGTGAAAAAATTGGCATTTGCTCATAGTTATTATATATTTTTACGATATCCAATCAAACTAGCTCCATCCAAACACCAAGAATAATAATAGACAAACAAAGTCCATCCCATTCTCCCCCCAAGATTTTCATACCACCGATGAACCCTACTCCATTCTTCCCTCTCGCCTACTATTATCTAACTTACTATCCATCCTCTTCAGCAAAATAACAGATAGAGCCATGCAAGCCCCCCCAGCTCAAAAAAAAATCACCAGGATTTCATCTTGCCGGTACTTTATTCCTATCCACCTCAGGCCGCCGACCAGGAGCCCTTTGTACTGGCACATTTTCCCCGGGGCCGGCTGCTGGCGCTGCTTCATTTGCAGCGGGTGTAGTTCCCCGTGGCCCATCATTTCCCACCATCAGTGCTGGGTTCGTCTTCCACGATGGGATGCTGACTCCTGACGCAGCCGCGCACTTGCTCGCGTAGGAGCTATCGGCCGAGACGACGTCACCGCGCGCCTTGGTCTTCGCACTCCATCTTCCAGAAACAGAGCCTCTTTTCTCCTCCCGGGCCTAGTCGGGAAAGGAAAAGAAGGGAACTTATCCGTTAATCTAGGACGGAGATTTGTTTTAGAAAGAGGGTTTTCTCCAGCCCAGGTTCTTATTCTCATCAGAAGGCGTTTTGCTGGGGACGTTGTGGATCGCGGTTCCTCTATGCTGGGTATCACACTGCTGCCTTCTACTCCTGGCTGGCTGTTCTGTGATGCCTCCCCAGGTTCTCCGGGCATTGAATGGATATCCTGACAACTTGAGCTATGTTGTTCGGCAGAGGATTGCTCCGTGGTAGGAGGTTCCTGGCTCTGTCTCCGTGAGCCGCTCGGCCCGGCCCCGCCACCATCATCTGGTTCGGTTCGCCGCGTCCTTATCGGCCTTGCGTTTTTACTCCATTCTATATCGGCAAACACTACCACCGCGATAGACGACTCTGTTAGCTATACCTCAAAACGGGAAAGTGGGACAAATGACCCCTTTCTTTTCTTTAAGCAGGGGGAATGGCCGCGAAGGCATTCGCAAACCACGCATCGAGATAGCTCACAGTCAAGCTTGATCATTGCCCTATTCCCCAACTCCTTCTCCTCACTCGTCGGCGAGGCGGCAATTTCCTCATATTCCTTCCATTCACTCTCGTCCACAAGCTCACTCCACTCCCATTCCTCCCCGCTAGTCCGGTCATTGACAGCTAACCCACATTCACCAGTCTGCTGCAAACTGTATCTGCTCATAGATTTCGTGACCTTCAAATATTTTGAGGGTGTCTGGCTGTCGTGTGGACTGCTATCGGCAGGTTGTTTGGCTCCAATAATCGTCTTTGATCCTGCTGCGTGTGTCCTCAGCCTCCTTGGCCGACGTTTCTGTGACATGTTTGAGCGGACAGGTGGGTTTGGAGATCGGCTTTCCGTTTCTTTTTTCTTTTTTCCTTTTATGTCTCGCGCGTACCGGCTCTGAGAGAGAGCGGTAGAGAAATGCTGAAATAGTTTACCAGTCGGCTCATGGGTCTGTATGGCCCTCTTAAGAACTAACGAAGCCAGAGTCAAAGTATAACGGTCGGAGAAGCAGTATAAATGTGACCTGCGAGTAACAATGATCCAAAACGCGGAAATCCCTTTTAAAGACAAAAGAGCTTTGGCAATCTATAACAGCGAGCGAATCGCATACTTTGAACAAAGTGAATATGGCTAGTTCTAAGCACAATCAGATCCGTAGAGATATATACGTATGACGTTTGGTATAAAGGCAAATAGGGTGTCCAACTTGGGTGAAAAAGATATAGAATCCCAAAGCAATCACTAAACCCCCCAAAATAAAAAAGCGAAGAGGAGGAGGAAGAAGCACCAAGAGAAGAACAAACAAGAGAACAAGAGCGCAAAGAGACATCACTCTCACCTTAATATCTCTCACTGCACACCTATTTTAGTAATCTCTTCCTCCACTATTCTTCACTACCTTCTTTCTTCACCTCCCTTCAAACCCCTCGTTTTGGGGTTGCCCCTTAACAACCGAGTCAATGTGCCTTAATAACACAGCTCATTGTAAACGTACAGTACCACTCCTCATCCCCCAATCCCATACTCGATCCCCCCTGAAAGAAAGGGAAGGAAGCCATGACTATTGAAACCAAAGGGCTTTAAACAAGGATATTGAAAGAGGAAGAAACAAAGGAGAGAGGGATAGACAATTCAGTCATTGATGTAGAGTTCATGAGTCGGTTTTAACAAAAACCGTACTCTGCGACGAGGAGGGCTTTTTTTTTTTTTTGTGAGAAAAGAAGTAACTTACATAGTAAGCAACAAAGGGATTCACGGATTCACGTACAAAGAGTGAAACAATAAATGTCTTTGATAAAACAAAGATTAAACAAAGATTGCATTTTCAAGACAGGAGAAAGAAGGGGAAAAAGAAGAAAGACAACAGCATAGAGAAAGAAAGAGAAGTAGAACAATTGACAGCAGCAAACACCTTGTCTAAAATCTTGCTGAAGATATCAAATTCAATTGTTAATAATGGATAAAGGTGTATATTACTGCGCACACTCATTTCCCCACATTGTATTTCATAAATAGGGTTGATATTATGTACGTGTATATAAGCAAGTTAATACTATTATTTCAGCTGCTCATAATCATCATTTGTCAACTTGAAATAAAAAGAAAGAAAAGAAATAAAACAGTAAAATGTGAGAAAACATGCAAAAGAAAGGAGATTGTTTTAACTGGAGTAAAGTGATATTGCTGCCAAAGCATTGAAGATAATTAGATAGATACAATATGTAAATACATACATGCATACATACATACATTTCAATATTTGAAAAGTAACAAAATAAGAAACATAAAAATAAGAAACATAAAAACTAAGAGAGCCATAAAAAGCCATAAACATTAGAACATCAGTCATGAAAAATGAAACATGAAACCAGAAGAAGTTAAATCATCAAATAACAAAAGTAGTTAGGAAAGAGAGCATCCGTGAAGGTCAAATATAACAATGAAACTACAATGGCAATATAAATAGAAATCAATACCCAATAGTAATACCAAGAAAGAATTAAAAAGGGCGGACTCACAGGGTAAAAGGGAAGAATTATAACATCAAAGAGTAGAGTAACGAGGAAAATGAGAGGAGAAGCATAAATGGTAAGAGGCATAGGCGGTAGCTAGAAGTAGAGGAGCAACTACGAAAGGGAAAAAGAAACCTAGCTCTCGACCAAAAGAAGCAGAAAGGGGGGGGAAATGGGGGGATGAGCGGTGGTGGGGGAAAAAGGAGAGACAGAGGACATAAAAGGCATTGAAAACATCAAGGAGCGTTAAAGAGTCATTGAAGGACATATTTTTCTAATGCAAAATCATAACTTGCTCGTCAAGTCATTCCGCGAATGTTTTTCCCAAAACGAAAACGAGGAAAAAGGAGACGAAAAAACAAAAAAACAAAAAAGTGGGAGGAATGAAAAGCTGCGACGGAGAAGGATGGGGTTGGGAAAAAAGGGAAACAGGGAAGTTGCAACAGCGGAGCGAAGAAATACTTCAAGGTGCTCAGAAGCATTAATAGGCGAAATCCAAAATCGTGCCTTTCGTCCTGCGGTCCCAAAGCTTCAAATTCCTGGTGGGAAAGGCAAACGTTGGCTGACAAAGGCCGCTCTCTGTCTGCGAGGGGAATTCATTGATTCTCTCACCATCCAAGCAGCCCTGACAGACGACAGCTTAAAATGTTTTAAAAAGGGCAAAGCGGAAAACGTAAAAGATCCAACAGCAACGAGGGTCGCATGAGTTACAAAGAGACGGATATCAAAAAATTGGTTATCTCTATATGTGAGAAAACCAACAAGGACAACCGTGATCAGCCGCCAATAAAGACAAGGAAATAAGAACATCCAAAACCAGGGTGACGGAAAAGCAGGAAATAACTTCCGTAAAGGCCCTCTGTGCACTTGTTATGTTCATCGGTCACAACTGCAGAAGAGCTAATGGATAAACAAAAGGAAGAAGGATACGAAAGTCGAACGCAAACGCAAAACAAAAGAATGCCTCCACCTGTGTATATATGGTATGGTAGGTCGTTACGTCGTGAATGTTCGTAGAGTGGAGAGAAATATATATAATAGCTTTCTCAAAACCGCGGCCGTATTCCAGCAATTGGAGCTGTTTTTGTTTCGTGTCTCTTTTCGGTCGTGAATAGGAATAAGAGAGCCAGAGGAAAAGTTAACGGGATGTTATCCCCTGATGCAATCGTGATGCTTTTTGGAGAATTGCTGAGCATAAAAATTAATATGTACCGAATGGAGGAAATAAGGAGAAACTCCGTGGAGGAGGTTAGTTCATCATAATGGTGGATATCCTGAACCGAGCGTAATTTAAATGAACCTGCCCGCACCCTTGTCTTCGCTGGTTGCAACTGCCACAAGGGCCTCCAAACGGGCCATTCCACCTGCGGGATGGTTGGAATTTCCCGAGTAAAACACATGTCGTGACTCTGGATTGGAATGTACAGGATAGGAATTATTATTAGCGGCCCGAGGCGCCTGGGGAGCACAAGCCTGCCACAAACGAATTAATAAATTAAAGCCTCAAAAACTTTCCCAGCAAAACAAAAACGTAGCAGTGTTGACTTACATTATTGGGAGGTTCAGTTTGGACATGCGAATGATGCCTTTCGATATCATCATGACTAGGTACTATGGCGGGGTGGTATTCAGGCGCGGAGGCCGATGGTGTTGCTACGCCTTCACTACTGCTTGAATCCTCAGGGGATGGATTGGCGGGCTGGTTGGTTGACGTAGAAGCTGGGAGAGGACCATTGTACCATCCATGTCTCTTGTTCTGGGTCGGAGTCGTGGGGCCATTAGAGTTTGAACTAGTGGCAGGTTGTTCAGGAGGCCTGGATGCATCTGGGATTCGATGTATCGTCGGCTCGACGGGTTGCCGCTGGAAGGAACCAAACGGCCGTGACGCAACATCCCGTAACTCCCCAATCGTCTGCTGGCTCCAATGCGAAGCATCCATATTTGAGGCTGTATTGCCACGTATGTCAAGTTTCGTGAGGTTCTGGTGGAGGGACATGTCAAATGAAACATGGCCTCGTCGGTGACCAGGCCCAGAAATAGGAGGTGGTGGTCGAGCAGTAGGCAGTTGAGTGTTGAAGGTCGGAGCAAAGGCAGGGGCTGCATTAGAAGATGTCAAAGGTCTGTCAATTTGCATAGGCGTCGGCTCTCGCCTTGGTGGGGTCGAGGGGCGCTGTTGGACCTGGTCAAAACTCTCAATTCCAGGTAGGCGAGGGGGAGGATTGGCCCCGAAGCCAGGCTGCGGTCTTTCGGCCGGTTGGTTGAACCACAACCCACTACTCACGGGACGGCCGAAGCCTGTATGCGTGGATGGATGCCATGTCCTTCTCCGCCAATCTGCTTCTGCTGAGGACATATTCGAGTCATCCCGCGGCGTGTGTGGAGCGTTCGGGCTTCCGAATATACTTCCACTATTAGAATACGACGAAGTAGATGGTGCCAAAGGTCTGGGGAACGCCGGTGGATACGTATTCGTAGGCTCAAATGGCCGCGTTCCTGAAGGAAATGACAAACGACGGCCGGAACCCCGTTCGGCCCAGAAACCTGAAGTCGCCGAAGACGGGGACCCATAGTAATAGGGTCCTCCATCTCCGGCGGGATAAGTAGCTGAAGCAGGTGTAAACAAAGCGCTACTAGGTGACTGAGTAGGGAACGCGTGGATTTGAGCGGGAGGCGTCCTTGGAGGCTCGTTCATACTCTCAAGTGACAACCTGGTTCTAGCAGCACCATCACCAGCCATCATCAGAGGCGGCGGGCGCCGGCGAATTTCCTGAGATTGGCTGTAAGTAGACATTGTCGACCCAATACTTGAAGTTGATAGATTCCTGCTATGGCCTCGACTATGCCCTCCCTGGCTACCCACTGTACCAGCACGATTTCTACCCGGAGGCCTGACGCGGTCAGTTCGAATTTGGCGCTGAAACCGTGTTCCTTGCGCAGCGAGGGAGTCTCCAGGGATGTCCTCGTTCACATGTACTGTTTGAGCATGCTGTCGTAGATTATCAAGGCGCGAAAATCGCCGTGAACAATGGCACTGGAAGGGACGTTCTCCGGTATGTTTCCTATATTGAAACGTATTAGACATTATGGTTGGATAAAAAGGGGGAGATTATTCAGAGCAGACCTTATATGGCGCGCTAAGTGTTCGCTTCTCGTAAAACTTAATGTACACGGTGGGAAATCTGTACAAAAGAAACGCTGGCCCTTCTTCTTTTTCGACGGGGGAGCGCTCTCGCCCATTTCTGCGCCATTTTCAGAACCTCCTTCCTGATCTGCATCGGACTCCGCCCCAGGATTATCTTCAGGCACGGAAGACCGAACCGATGAGCCCTCCCGACTATGTGTTCGACCGGGGCTGCCTGTAGAGGCGGCATTCGAGACACGGGGACTGCTAATGGATCGCTTCTCAGATTCGCCATTCACAGTTCCATACCCGCTATCTCGTTCGTGATCTGCTGTTCCGCTGGATAACGAGGCGGAAGGTTGGGTGGAAGACGTCTTCGACGGATCAAGGTGAGGGGAGGAAGAGTTCTTGGGAGTGGCAGTTGTGCCATCCATCTTTACTGGTGTAAAGGCAGGAGCCGAGTTAACAGGAAGAAAAGACGACATGATAGCGAAGTCGTCGCGATGCGCCGGATATCAGCTCACCACGACGAAGAACCGAAGCCACCCACAGTTTTTGATATAATTGTAAAGGATTATTCGCCTGTATTGCGTCGCTGTCACCCGTCGCGGTGTGCTCAGGTTGTTGAAAAGCAAGGTTCTGTACGAACGTGCAGCTCACACCTCGTGTTGGAGAAGCAGGACTTGGTTTATTCTATCCAGGACTGGGTTCAGAACTATTCATAAACCAAAATAAAACGGAAAAGAGCCTCTTTTTCACCACTCAATAGTAGGTTGAAAAGGATAACCCGATGTTTAGCTCGTTCTATTTCCGGCGAGAAACGTCAGAGGCGGTGGTGGTTGGTAAGTTGAATCGGATATGGTCTCAGCACCCCAAAGCCAGGACACCTCTCAGTCGTCCAATATAGTCGACGAACGGACAGGGGCAGGTAAGACTGGGTGAGAAAGAAGAGGGAAGGTATGGGGACCAGCGGGAGTATTGTCGTAGGGAGACCTAGACGGTAAAAGGGCGATCAGATCGCGCGAATAGTCAGATGGAGGAATATAAGATGTGCTGATGCATCCGTTGAATTCAGGATTCCGTAATCGCCGTTATTGTTGTGGTTGCTGTTGTCGTCGGGGGAAGAGCTTGTCAAACGGTCGAGGGTGGATGAATTCCAGGAACGAGGCGGGAAAGGATTGGAGGATAATCGTACTGTGGGCGGGCGCAGCAGGGGACACGAGAGAGGAACAGGTTGGTTCGGGGGTTGACCAGGCTGAACAGTGAAGTCTCGACGAGTCGATAAGGGTTAGGGAACCGGTTCTCTCAGGCTTTCTGTCGCGCTTTTCTCACGGGCGGGACAGATTTTATTTATGGATGAGGGAGGAAAGATAAAGGTAATATGCAAGTCAAACAGAGACGGCTCAACGTCCCCGTTGGATTAAGAAGAGAGGGGGAAGGCTTGTGAAGGAAAGGGCGGGAGCGCGGCGGAAGGGGGCGTGGGAAAGATCTCCTGCGGAGCAGAAGGAGGATGATAATGATGATGTGATGTGATAGTGATGCTGGTTTGTGGGTCCCAGAGAAGATGGAAGAAAAAAAAGAGGCAGAGAAGATGGTTGGTGGCAGGTAAGGGTGGGAGCTGAAGATGGTCGTGCTGATGATAGTGGTGGTGGTGGTGGTGGTGGTGTTGATGATGATGATGATGGTGGTTGCTAGCGGCGGCGACGACGGGGGAAAAAGAGGAGGCTTACAGGAAAAGTTACAGAAGTCCAAGACAAGACCAAGACCAAGAAACAAGACACACAACACACAACACTCCCCCAGCAGCAGCAGAAGCAGCAGCGGCTGAACCAGTACAAGACCAAGCAAGGGCGGGTATTGTAGTATGTATACCAGAAACTAGAGCGATACGGAGGGCTACTTCAGAGGTACCTGGCAGGTTGTTTCATCGACGTGTATCGGCATGATGCAGGCCGGACGATTTGCCAGCGAGGGAGATGTGATGACATACATACTATACATACATCAGGGACCACCCGGCTAGCCATGGTGGGGGGCTCTGGGCGGGTGGTTGCTGCTGGAGCTGCGGCGGGGAAACATAACATCTCATCAATCATTATTAATTATCAGAGAATTTACACCGAAACTCGTTTGGCTTCTTTCTATATTGAAAGGAATTCTATTTGAACGGCCTCTACCATAAAAACTCATCCATGATGTATGTATCTATCTTTATAGGGTTAATATCCTTTACTATATGTATGTTACAAGTATAGCATTCCGTCCGTGCCTGTGCCTATCAATAGCTGGAAAAGCAGTACGGGGGGGGGGGGGGGAACAGGATCCAGACTTTCGATGAGCCAGAGTCAGAATTTGAGCAAAGGGTCCAAATCGATTTAGTCAGGTTCAAAAGAAAGGCACAAAACACATGCCTTGACGCTCATTTGTGGGAATTCAAAGAAAAGGCACAGGGGTGGGTTAGGTAGTTATTATTGGGACTTGTTCCCCTTCGTCAGTCGCCGAATGGTAAAAGCAAAAAAAGAAGAAAAGGAGTTTGGTCAGCGAATGAAAATTAGCGACAAACCGAAAATAGACTCAAACGAAGAAGAAGAGGAAGAAGAAGAAGAAGAAGAAGAAGCCGTGAGCCCATGAGCCGCAGGTCCTGGACGGAGCAACCTAGCTATATTCATAACCCCCCTTTTACCTCGATAGAGATGTGTGGAAAGAAAGCCGCAGATTTTGTATGTATGCACCTACTACAAACTCAACCATGATGCTTCTGTACAAGGTAGGTAGATAGATGTATGTACAGTACAAAGAATGTATATGTACCGTGCCTCAAACAGGGATTTTCGATTTTCTGGAGGATTAGGGGGGCGAAATCTCCTATATAATGCCCGTAAACTCCAGTTATCACACCCACCAGGTTTTGTTTCGGGAAGAAAGCCCGTGTCTGTATTAGAAGAAGCGAGGCGAGGAGTTGTATCTATACGTACATGTACATATATACATACATACATACATACATACATACATACATACATACATACAAGAACTCTCGTCCCCCCCCTTTTTGCGGATGGTGGAAAGGAGAATGGTCCAGGTGGCCCGCGAAGGTTGAGTGATGATGCTGATGATGATGTCGACTGGCGGCGAATCCAGGGGAAGGAACTAGGCTAGGCTTGAGTGGGCAGTTGTGCAAGGAACTGGGCAATTTTTGTACCGGATGAGCATGTTGCCGTGTACAGGTCCAGACAAAGTAACTTACAGGTACAGGTACAGGTACATACATGTACAGTACATACATACTAACAAAGAGGGGAAAGCGGAAGGGAGGGGGGAAATAGGGGAAATAGTTCTCTACGCAGTAGTAGTTAGAGGAGGGGAAGGGGAGAAATGGATGTGGATTTAGGGCCAGGAGAGGGAGCTGGCTGGTTGGCTGGAGGTAATTCGTGCCGGCCTTTTTTAGGGGGGAACCATCCATGCTCTGTGGCTGTGTGGCTGGGCGAAATTCGCTATGAGGATCGATTCCCTCAGAGCCTTGAATCTCCAGGGCAGGGCCGGGCCCCTCCCCCTCAAGGTAGGTTGGCGGGGCGGCGGGGGTTAGGTGAGCCCCACGGACCATGGGTGCTCAAAACTCAAACCAGTCCGACCCATGGGATAAGACTGAGGAGATGGGTACCTGCCGATGAGCTGGGCCTTGTTGGGCCCTGTTGGGCCTTGCTTGGGCCTTTGCCTCCCCGGAAACTTTGTAACTTATTATTATTAGAGTGCAAATGAAAGTATCTATACCTATTTATTTACCTTCGATATAATAGCGCAGAAAATAGCTAAATAAAAATAAAAATAAACTATGGGGTCGCCCATTACATATTCATAATTACAGAAACCCCCCCCCCTAGGACATCAGGACTCTAGAAACAAGTGAAAGAACGATAATGAAATAGAATAACGAGCCAAAGAATCCAGAAGCAGATATTTCCCCAAGTTGGTGTGAGCAAGCTTGGTTTGTTCTCTCAAAACCGGTTTAAACAAATGCTTCAAGATCTCCCAGCTCTTATCCGGAGTATTAAAGTTCAGTTACCGTCCTACTAACTTACGTTTTCTTCACTTTACACAACTAACTCTATCAGAAACGCAATACCTACACAAGAGCAGCAGCTCCAGCTATATTCATGCCACCAAGCGTGGGTATAAGCAGCCAAAAAGCCCCTCAGTCCGAGGCATGCAGAGAGAGAAAGAAGGTCCAGCCCTTATCTCTCACGTACGTCGCCTCCTTCCAACCCCTTTTGTCCGAACCCTATAATAGGTATATATATATATATATATATATATATACTCTGTACGCCCAAGCACTATGTAGGGAGGTACGGGATAGCTGCGCTTCGCCGCAAAAAAACCGCTACAAGCCCTGGAAAGCCCCCCCCCCCCCTGTTCACCATTGCTGTAAAAGTTGGAGAGAATAGAAAGTAAATTTTGATCTAGTGAACTAGACTTTCATCAAAGTATGGTGGAACTGAACATAAAAATCACAAAGCTCATTCGCAATGACTAACGATCGAGTACCCTTCTTTTTCCACCGATCGAGACATTTAGCTTAACTTAACAAAGTAACCAGTCCAGACTCGATTTCAAAGGTTTTTCTTTCGATGCAGATGAGATCTGCATACCGTAACTACCATGCCACGCCGCGCCGCATCATTTGCTGCTTGCTCTGTTTCCTTTCTATATTTAACTTAAATTCTATGCATGCATTTTTCACAGACAACAACATTGAAAGAAAACAGCTGTATGCAAGTCTCAGATTGTAGGAGGAATTGAATTATAATTTTAATCCTTGTGATAGTTATTCATGCACTGAGGAAAAATAAAAAATTCCATGTCATTGTTGTTGCTCTGCATGTTACAGCCCACATCAGTCATTTTATTCAGCCCATGCAGTAGTTATTGCTTGTGTCTGCTTTCTCATTATTGAACTGAAAAGAAAAAAAGGGAGAGAAAAAAAACCCATTTAAAAAAACACTTAACTAAATGAAGAAAAATCATGATTAATTAAGTCTTTCATAAAAAATAACAGAGTATATTAAGAATATCTCAAGATCTCTCTGAGATACTTGATTTGTGGATGTGATATCAGAATACATGAAGATGAATCAAAACATCTTATTAAGAAACATCTTATTAAGAAATAATGATGATTTGAATTAACATAAGCAAATTTGAAGTTCCTTTCTCTGTCAGCTCTCTATTATCATTCTAAATTCTTTTCATTTTAAAAGCTATGTTCCACACAGCTTCTCTGGCTGTATCACAACCAACTATCTAAATCTGAAACTATGCAGAGCTGACTTGGCCTGTGCAAAGTTGGACAGGTTGAGATCGAAATCAGCTATCGCACGAAAGAAACATTAAATTGTCATTTGATACCATCTGGGAAACATCTCTAAAACAGGCAATGTCCATTAACTACTTACAATTTATAAGCATCTAGCAAAAACTTGCTCAATGCAGAAAAGGTACCATCAAAACCCCGATTGCTGAATGATGATAGATATACCTTGAATAATGCAACCTTTTCAAGCAATGGTAGCCCGCTGGGGTTAAATGAGCTTCGAGCTCAAGGAATACATGGGTTTTCGACCATGCAAGGTACAGTTCTGAAATGAAGAAAGTCAAGTTACCCCCCTTTCCTGGAGTAGAAAGAAGGGTGCTAGTAATCAGGTTCACTGGAAAGATGAAACATGGCAGGCAGATGACAGAAATCAGGAAATGAGGTATCATACCACCATTTGTTTTGCCTCCCTTTTCAAACCATATTTTGAAAATAGAAAAACATTTCAGTCACAGAGGGTAACTAGCAAGGGTAAGTGGCAAAGCAAAAAAAAAAAAAAAAAAAAAAAAAACCTTGGAGGAAAAAGGGAAGAAGGCCTCGAAAAGGGCGCCCCTGAATGAACTCTTTAGCTACCGTAAAAAATGGCAGCTGAATAAGCGGTGAAGAGGGATTGTTGATGGTTCATGGGATATATATAAATGATCTAATATCCAAAATATGACTTCACTGCTTACAATGCCGCGAAGGGAAAAGTTCGCCAAGAAAATAGAATAGCGGGGCAAACTGAAAATAATACAATGACCAGAAAGACATCATATTGTCATGATGTATATAATAGTATAGTGCTTGCATGCCACGGGCACCCCTCTCTGATGTCGCCACTGGACTGCACCAGGGCAGAATAAGAATGGGGAGATATGGGAGGGTATATTTCTAGCAATAATGGTATGATTGATTGATTGCCAGTTACGGGACCTTGGAGAAAGTTTGTTTCGATTTTGCCGAAGGAAAGGGAGATGTGAGGATGTTGGTGGACAGGGGAGGGGAGGTATTGAGCTGGTTGTTTAAGTGACGCAAGGAGTGGGTAGCCATGTAAAATGGAGGGGTATTGGACAAGACCCCCAGGGACCTTTGGATGGATGGAGAGACAACATGGAGCATGTGATAAACATATAAAATTGGTTACAATGTATTATTTTAAGTCTGGGCTACATCATAGACTTTCAGCTTCAAGATAGGCAGATTGCGGGGTCGAGAGAGCAGACATGCGGGTATCCTTGCATATGACGGACGGGGAACGATGTAGTAGTGGAAATGTACCTGCATACATCGATTGGTATGGCCTTGTTTTCTCTTCGCGGATTTAAAACTCTGTTTGTGAACCATATCTCTATATTAATTCAATCGGTAACTGATACAGACTATTTCGGTATCTTAGAAGCGTAAAGGACAGGTTGCGTATATTTAAGACATGCTTTTAGCTTGCGCTTGTAGACGTATCTTCAATTTATAAACCAGTTACAGATTTGTCGTCGGCTCGTTCCAAATGATAGGAATTGTACAGTAGGTACACAAACATGCATTCATGAAGGAGCAACCTAAGCTAACCTTTGGTGGCAATGGAGCCTGGATAATTCGCTCGCTAGTAACATTTGAGAGTGATAAATAGCGGATGGTGTGAAAGGGTGCTTTCAGATAAGAGGCAGAAAACAAAGCAGTTAAGACGAATAAAAAAAAAAAAAAAAAAAAAAAAAAAAAGCCCTTGAAAAATTCAAAACAATCCAAGAAAACCTTATGGACACCATGTGCGTTGTTTCTACACAGGTCGTCTCACTTCCCATACTCTTACGCCTCTATCTTATCTTCCCAAAGCACCCACAACTGCACTTACCATAACAGCTGCTTCTCGCTCCCAGTTACCCACCACAATAGGACCCGTAGACCCTCCCAGTCTAGTAATGCTATTATTTGGTAGCTGTGAGCCCCGCAGAACGCATTCCCTCACTTGCTCACGGAGCCGCTCCCGGTTAGATCTCAGGGTTCGCGCGGAAACACCCCCGCGATTGATAATCTCTTGAACCCGTGCTGAGAGAGACGAGGCCAGTGAGCGCCAGAAGTAGGAAGGTAGAGAGGATGTGTCGAGGCATTGGAGTAATGGTTGGAGAAGATTGTTTTTGGCTTTGGTGGCTGAGTTTGATGTAGACCTGGCTCCGGTTCCTGAGTAAGTGGAAAGGGAGGGGTAATTGTAATTAATGAAAGGGTGAGAGGGAGGTTTGATGGTTTCGAGGAGAGCTTCAAGAGCCATGATGTTCTGACACTTGGCAGATATTTCTTGAAGCGTCCGGTCGAGGGTTGGGAGCATCGACAACGAGCGCGACAACGAAGCTAGCGATGAAGTTAGACATGTATGGATATAGCCTTTCAAGGTTGCAAGGAGTAATTCTGGCTGGAATTCAGATGCCAGAATCGATGTGTGTGGGGTTGGGGATAATAGATATAATGTGGTAATGGCGGACGTAATTCGGGACTTCGCATCTTCGGCTTGCGCGAACGTCGACGTCCCGGAAGCTTGGAGTTGAGTTCCCGAACCACCAACACCAGACCCTACGCCGCCCGTGTCCACCACTAAAGAGGACAGCGAGAATTTATTGATGATTTGTGTTGCTCTGGCCTTGACCGTGCTCTCAGCTGGATTGACCAGATCACTTCGCAGAGTCCTTATCACCTTAACTCGGTCAAGACCGTAACTTTCCTCATCTTCAGTAGTGATAAACATCCGCCGGAGCATTAACAGCGTGTTAGAAGCTCGCACTAGTGCCCTATGATCCTCTACCACTGGCGAACCCCCACTGCCTGCCCCGGCTCCAAAAAGACGGCCAGTCAACTCTAGCATCTGGCCTTCCAGCTGCCTACCCAGCACCAGGCACCGTCCCACAGCCCTCGCCAATCTCACAGTCGCCCATGACCTTTCCGCAGCACCTCGAACCTCCTCCGCACTTTCCCACCGCTCCAAAACATCCTTCTCTAGCCTCTTATATCCCTCCCTTAATGCAGAAACCTGCCCTTCAACCGCCTCCAAAACCCGCTGGCCAGCATCGGTCTGGTCGCGCGTATGTGTGAGGAGAGGAAGTGCAGATTTCGTAGTCAATGTATGGATATGAGTGTCGATTTCTTGAATATCGAAGAGGACACGAGACAATGGAGTGGAGAGGTCGAGTGGGGTATCGGACGGGTTGTTTGTGCTTGTGACAAGGGAGTTGGCGAAAGCGGTAGGGGAGAATGAGGGATCAAGGAAGGTTTCGTAGTCGATGTATGACGGCTCAGAATCAGTCATTGTTGTTATATATACGCCCCTACTTTGTTCCCTTTACTTCTAAAGGCAAGGCAATTAGGGACGTTCATTCTGTTCTAGTTGGTGAGGGGCGGGTTTGGTTCTTGCACCGTCAAACAAGCGCTATTTTGCGATTTCTTCGAAATGAGGAACAAAGGGAGAAATAAAGAAACATTTTTATACCTTAAGTATAAATAAATGATATGAGAAAGTCAAATCGCGGTCTCAGAGTTCTCAGAACTGCTCGCATGTGAATGGTTAGCAGTCGAGCTGTGTCATACTGAGCCCGCAAGGATACGGGATAAGACAAGAGGATGAAAGAGAAGTACTCGAACAATAAATGAGGGGCACAGATGATTTAGAAATAGAACTTTGCAAGAATAATCGGTGACAGGAAATAGGTTGGAGTCGATGTTCGCAGAAAGGGAGGTTGGGTGAATGATGATGGCATTTGGGGGGGGGGATACGGTCACTTTGATGAATGAAGCTCCAAAGCTTTGGGGCAAATCTGATCACGTGGAGTGTGGAGTCAGCCCGGAGATAACCCACCAACAGTTTTTGCGACGTCATTTCATTAATCCGATTTTAACTCTATCTAAAGAAAACTGAGCTGAGAACTATATAGGCCAATTTGACAAACAGGTTGATCAAGCGTGCAACAAAAGTTCAAATATTAATATACAACCTCTATGAGCTGGCAGCGATCCCTTCCTCCGATGTAAAACCTACAAGAAAGCATTGAGCAGCCTCAAACCCACCCCGCACTTTTGGCTTATCCCAGAAGCTAATTCCAACACCAGTATAGTATGGAGTATGGCGACTATTCCTATAATGGTTCTGTGGCATTGATCTCCCCCATTTTCATTGGCTTCTGAGCATGGTTATTTCTCCTTTCCCATCTACACTATGCTACGGTTGGCTCTCAGGAGCATCCATGATCGTAACTTTCTTAAAACTCACTTTTCGATTCAGAACAAACCACAGAAAACGGCGGGAAATAGAATCGAATTTTCAGAAACAGGTATACCTGTCTGTTGGCGCCCCAGGATCCAGCCCAGATGTTGAAGACTTTTTCGTATCAGGTGTCTGTTGCGGAGCGATCATAGATGCCTGGGCCCGCTAACCTCGAATACAACACCCGTTTACCCCTCCCTATCATATCTGTGGGCTTTACGCTGCGTAGTCAACCGGTGAGATGTAGAACCAACATCCTTCATCTTTGCCAAAACACATCCAAAAACTCCGCTTAGATGTATGTATGTACATACATACATCACATGGAGGCTATGTAGGCGCGAGCGAGTAGCCCGACAAGTTCTGTGGGTTTCCCCAGCCAGTAGAAAGATGAATGTTTATAGAACGATATCACACACGCTCAAGTATCCAATATAAAACAAGACAAAGAAATAATAATGAAATGGAAAGGAAAAGAGAGAATAATGCCAAATCTACATGACAGGGCTTTCGTTTCACCGCCCATGCATTCCTAACCCGCGCCAATGCGATGCAAGACAAGGGAAACACTGAAGAGACCAAGGGGTATATAAACTAGGAAAAAGAAAGGAACAGAACCCCAAAAAGAGCTAGTCGCGAGGAGGGTATACAACAACCATCAAACAGGATCATCAACTCTCTCCTTCATTCCAACCATTTCATACTCTCCCCCGCCATCCCTATTCCTTCCTCGGCCCCTGCCTCTCGAAAATCCAAAAAAACCACCTCCGTCACCACCGTCCCCATCTCCAGCGGTATCATCGCCTGATCGATTCGTGCCATGATTACCACCACCACTAGCTGACGACGCATTTGCAGTAGACCCGCCGAAAACGATGGGCTGCAGTTCCCTCCACCGGCAAGCCCACATGCCTAGGAACGTCATGAGCGCTGAGCTAGCTACCTGTAAACCCCACCAAAGCCAGTTGGTGGGGAGCGCATGAGTGTAGCAGGAGGTGATAAGGAAGTGTATGAAGTGGATTGTGAGCGCAAAGTCTGGAATTAGTTTCGAGCGGGAGACCCAGAGAAGGAGGAAGATGACACTGTTTTGCGCAACTGGTTAGCTACGCGGGGCACTCTGGAAACAAATAAAGTAGGGGAAGGTTGAGCGGATACATAAAAACAGGGGAAAGGGGCAGGAGGGTTTGAGAGAAGAAATATTTACCCAACAGCGCTGTTAAGCAGCCAGGCGAGCCCGAGCGTCCATCCTATCGTCGTATCGCCGCTAAGGCTGCGCCAGGAGAGTATAAGGTCAGGTGAAAAGGCGGTCCCAGCAACCAGGGCGGTGAAGAGGATGAGAATCGTAGCGCAAGCGTAATAGGCGGCTTGGAGGTAGACGATCTTGGTCACAATTTTAAGCGGAGGAAAATCGGTAAGAGCCCCCGCCCGAGGAGGTCTGCGACGACGTTGCATAAAGCCGGTGAGGAAGGGAGGAGATTTGGTTTGGGTTTATGAATAAAAGGGAGCATCAGACAGAGGCATTTCAGGCTACGGACCGGAAGCCTTGCGCGTTAATGGAAGCGGTATTATACAATGAATGGGGCTGAGCGGTAACCTGCGTAGGTGGATGGATGTTTACGATAAATATGGAGTTGTTAGGAACTTTTGATGATTGTTCAAATCTTGTTGTTGTTGATCCTTCTTATGATGATGCGTAAATAAAGTTGCTGTTGGCATAATCTAGGAGCCGGGAATTCTGGCCATGCCCGCGGATCACGTGATATCAAAGTCGGAGCCAGCAGCAATGACGAAGACGGCCTCAGAAATAATACAAGAAACAAAAAATCACAAACCGGCTTAGATCGCCGTATTATTTTCCTTTCGTCCAATCCATCCGCCAATAAATTGATCCTATCTTGCTTTACCCATCTGTCCTCGTCCCCCCTCGTTCTCCATACAACGCCAACAATGGGCTGGTTCTCATCATCCTCCGAAACCGCCGCATCCAAAGCCGCAGACGGCGGCTCCATAGCCCCCGACCGCTCCTCACGACAACAATGCTACATTGCCCGCGACGCTTTCTTCGAATGCCTAGACGCAAACAACATAGTCGATGCGGTCCGGGAAGATAAAACGGCGCGCGCGAAATGCCCGAAGGAACTCCTCGACTTTGAAGGCGCATGTTCGAAGACTTGGGTGCGTTGCGATATTTTCCTTCTCTTTCTCTTCCCTTCTTCCCTTCCTTCTTTCTTTTCTATAATATCCGCAAAAAGACCAATAGAACTGCGACGATGGCTAATTCTTGATGCGAAAATCTTTCTTTTGCAATATTATAGGTGAAATATTTCAAAGAGAAGCGTGTAATGGAATATAAGCGGGATCAGACAATTGCGAAGATAAAAGCGGATGATGCTGCAATGGCTGCGGAGAGCCGGGCGGGCAGATAAAAATGGACGGGCAAGTTGGTTTCGGTGGGTGGTTCTTCTCACCCTGTTTTTAATTTTTGGGCGATTGCGAAGAGTACGGGCCTGTATGATTATAGATTGATCGGTCTGAATGACTTGGTTGCTGGCGCCCCTAGAATGAAGAGTTGTGGCCAGAAGGATGCGACGGCATATTGTATATTATTATTGTTATCATCTATTTTTTGACGACTTCTTATATATATTCAACTCTCATGGCGCTGTATTCGCCTTGATATGCATGCCTTTCGCTTCTGATGCGAAACCTAATTGGATAGATACTAGACGGGTACGTCTTGATATCGAGGCAGAGGGGAAGTGAACGGACACGGAGGGAAGTAGTATAAAATGCGTTATTAGATTTATAATAGTTAGAAGATGAATTAATTAATGGGATATTTACATTAGTTTAGTGGTATATGTCTCTTAAGGGTCCGTGGTCCGCACCCTAGCTTCCCTTCTATTGAAAATTAATCGCATTTCGTTTGTTATCCGGTTTTAGATATTGCTTTGCCAAACACCTAATAACTCAAATAGCCCGCCGTAGACGAGAATCACCTCACGTCAATTTCATAGATAGCAAGAATGACGATCTAATTTTCCTATGTTTGAGACAACTGTAGGTAGAAAGTAAAGGAAGCCAAATCTTCACTGCTTCCACTTCATCAGTTGGTCCATGATACTTTGAACGTGTGGAGGCACCTGTGGCGCCGTTTGTGGGGGCGGAGGAGGGGGTTGGCCTGGTAGTTGTCCGCCCAAAGTTTGTGCCAGAAGTGAGGCTAAGTTCGGGTCACTTCTCCCACTAGGGAACTGCGTTGGAAAGCTATACGCAGGAGGTGGAGCCTGCTGGGGAGCGGAGCTTGGAGGAATTAAAGAATTTTGCTGACGGGGGAAGTTGCTAAGTAGACTAGCAAGGTCGGTTGGGTGGCCCTGGGGAGCGTAGTGCTGCTGAGCAGCCTGGAGCGCGACAGGATTTTGCTGTAGAGCTCCGAGAAGGGATTGGAGTGCCGGACCATCCAGATTCGAAATGAGATTTGTAATATTATTATTAGATTGTAATGGACGCGAAATTTGAGAGGGCGCCGGCAGCATTTGAGATATTCCAGGAGGTTGTGTGGTGGGATATTTTGAGGCATTCCCAAGGTGGACAGTCATTGCATGAAGCACGACCTCTGCGGCAACCTTCAACTCAAGTTCTGAGTATTCTAGAAGCCGAGGAATTAGTACGGTTTAAGCAACACTCTCTCAACTTTCTGCTGCAATATCTTACCATTGAACTTAACATTGTCGATGCCACCAGTGCGATCAAACACCTGTAGTGGGATTTTGCCAGAATACTGATTTGGGCGAGATAGCTTGACAATTGCCAACACTCCCTCTATTATTTGACGGCGGACGACAGCTGCGAGAGATATTCGGGGACTCAAGATTAGGACATCCGTTCGCAAGCCGCGATCTCGAAAGGAATTTTCGATATGATACACGAAATCCCTACAAGATAATCGCGTTAGTAGCAGCCCGACCCATACCCTCGGCCGAGATTCTTACCTGTCAACATTTTCCAGGACAATTATCTGGACATCTGGTACTTGTCGTGGGGATCGCCTTGGGATAGGAAGGTCTGAATCATTTTCATAGGCCTTCTCTCTAGGACTCGGGCTTCTGTATCTCCCTGAACGCATATAGGGAGACCTGGAACGGCGCCTATCTCGACGTCTTTCATAATCCTCCGGGGTTCGGTCGCGGAAACGATGATCATCTCGGCGGTGCCCTCGTGGGGATGGTGTACGAGCTGGGCGATAATCATCACGACGACGATACGGCTCATCACGGTCCCTGAATTCTCTAATCGGCGGCGGCCTTCTAGGCTCCGACGCTCTGTCATATCGATCACCACCGGCACGAATGCCACGGTGACTTGGTACACCTCGGATAGCTTCCGGTGACCTAGATCTTCTCTTGACTGGTGGTCTCGATGAATCCGGCGCGGGAGCATTTCTCGCCGATTTTTGGGGTTTTGAGATTTCAAGATCTAAATAGTCAGTCAAAAGGCATCATAATATTATGCACTGGTGGAGAAAGCGTGACTAACGAATCTTGCGTCCCCGTATAAATCCTCCTTGCTCTGCTTCTAGCGCTCTGCGACAAGAAGCGGGTTCCAGGAATTGGACGAATCCGTATGCCTGCTTAATGGATATTTGGGCGAGATCGCCATATTTGTGAAATAGGTGAAATAGGTCCCGTTTGGTGACTCTCTCTGTAGGGAGATTTCCTGTTTTGAATGTGAGTATAGATATGCCAAATAAATACGTGCTGGAGAAGACAGAAGGAAGGAAGGAAGGAAGAAAGACAGGCTTACCAACAAACAATCTCGATCCAGGCGGAAACCGATCCCAAAGTCCCTCTGTAACATAAACGCGTTCATTATAGAGAAACTGGTCATATTTCTTCTGAACTTCAGGGGCCCAAGGCTCCTCTCTATCTCCTTCGCCGCGAAGAAACTTGAGTTCATTGTCGTCCAACCTATCACTTCGGGGGAGTTTAAGAACGCTGGGTTTTGTTTGGTCGCTAGATGAATCGGGCAACTTTTGGAAACTTGCAATAGGGGGAGGGGGCAATCCATTTGAGGTGGAGGAAGTTCCAGGTGCGCCAGTGGGCACAACCGGGGATGGTAGCCCACTAGGCTGGGGGAAACTACATTGACCAAACGGTGCAGACACATTTTCGGGTTGGCTAGGCAAGGGATGGAAATATTGGATATTATCAGAACCCGGTTGGATAGAAGGCTTTTCTTGGGGTGGCGGGCGGGGAGGGAGACCAGCAGACGTGGGAAGGGATGTGTCTGGGATTAAAGAGTTGGTCATAAGATCATCAGTAGCGGTGGTGACGTCAACGTCTGTGGGAGAAGGGGAGGGATTTTTAGCATCTGATAGAGTATTCATGGCTTTTTGGTAGCTGGCGTCTCCCTCAGGGATGGGATTTGTCTCAGATTCAATGTTATTACTATGACCACCAGGTAAAGCTGGGGTAAATTTCGGGGAGGTATCGACGTCTGCATCCTTGCCTGGGAGCGCAGAAGATAGGTAATGGGGCTCAGATAATTTGATTTCGGAAGGAATGGGACGGTCTGACTGGGGGAAGGTTTCAGGTACGATTGATGCGATATATGGAGGAACGGTTTGGTGGTTCACTTTAGTAATGGAGCTCTCAAGAGTAGGATACGCAGATTGACTCGTGCTGTGAGTAGCTGGCAAAGTCGATTCATTTTCTGTTTCTGTTTCTGGATGATAACCCCTGTGTAAAGATCCAGAATAGCTAACTGCGCCTTCCTCGCCCACACCTTTTTCATCCACGCCTTTTGATTCCAGACTCTCAAAATTCTGATGCAGCATCGCGTAAGTATGGGTTGTGACTTGAACCTGATCCCTTACAACTGTCTCAGTGTCCAAAGGCGGCGTTTTCTCGAGAAATAGTTGCTTATAGATGGGAGTGTCGCTAAAGGCCGGGTCCATCTGACTTTGCAGCAATGGGATATTGGTAGGTTCTGACACATGAAGTGGCCTTGGACTTTCCGGCGTGAGAGTCTTGCCACGGATATGCAGAACCTCATCAGGGATATCGGAACTCATGATGCGGTTTTTTGAGGCAAAACAGGCGGGAGGCTAAGCAGACATCTGGAAAAGGACAAAGAACAGGTTAAGAAATGCTGGCTATTCGAGGCCTACAGACTAGAGAGGGGCAGAATAGACAGAAGATGTGAGGACCACAGGGAGAGGGTGAGCGCAAGTAAGAAGACATAGGGCCGTTAAAATACTTAGAAGAAGAGGTGTACTCGTGGTCTGGACGAAGCCTGTGAGGAAGCGGTCAATACCTGGAGGAAGTGGACAGTAGTAGCGGGGGAGGAATTGGCGGGTGTCGAGGAACGGTGTGGTTGGAGTCGGAGTGGAGGAGGTTGAGTGGTGGGAAGGAACTGGAAGAAAATGATCGCGGCAGAGTCGAGGCCTTCTTGAAGCTCTCTAGCGCCTGTTTGCTTTGTTTGTTGGATGACGACGATTCCTAGGCAAAGCGGGTCTGCCAAGCAGTGTCACGGGGGCTAACCGATCCCCTCGACAGAACAACAACCAGGAACGGTGCCGGCGAGAGAGCTAGCTATACCTGTGTATGGGTGGGTGGGTGTAGTTATGTGGCGGAGAGCGTATAACAGAACCTATATTTGCTAGGTGCCTTTACCATGCTCCAATTCCCCTTTACCTGCACGAGAACTGCCTTCGCTGCTCGGGCGTTTCTGCCAACCTTAAGCGCGAGACATCTTGCTTCCTCCCGATCCCCCAGTGCGCAGCAGTTTACAGACGAGGAATTGGGCACAGCACGGATTTGGCTATCTCAGCTGACCCCGAGAACAATACCGAGAAACATAGGCGAGGTTTCTTATAGCAGATCAAGTGGCCCCGGCGGACAAAATGTGAACAAGTACGCCAGCAAGTTTACCCACCCAAATCCTCCCTCCCCCTCCGCAAAAAAAAAAAAAAAAAAAAAAAAAAAAAAAAAAAAAAAAAACCCTCTCATCTCTAAAAGGATGAAGAAAGGAAACCAGAATCATTTTATTAATAATTGCCACCTAGGGTAAACTCGAAAGTTACGCTTAAGATCCCCCTCTCGTCCATCCTCCGACTTGTGCCACGAGCCCTACACGCCCAGATCCGGTCTTCACGTTACATCGCGGAGCGCTCTGACAGCCTGGTGATACAATCAGATGAAACGCGGAAACAAACTAAAAACCTCGATCTCTGTTTTGAAAAGCTACAGGAGCTCTTGGTCACTGCGGGCAAAACAGCAATTCCGGGCGAAACGTCGCCTGAGCAGAGGAAGAAAATACAGGCTCTGTAGGTTCTCTTCTTGGTTATATTTGAAACTTCAAAATAAAACATTTTTGCTAATTCCCCACCAGTGAAAAAGCCAATAATGAATCTAGAATACGATCCAAAAAGGCCCATAGCATGAAGAAAAGTAACCGGCGGTCAAGCGGCTATGACGATTAGAAAACAGAAAAAGCTTCCATTCCATGCAGCTGTTGACTAGGATATGAAGGCAGTATGGGAATTATACAATTAGGATGATCATTTGGAATCATTTCTATATATCATATACCAGGGGTATTTGAAGGCAAATAACGATAATTCAACTCAATGAGCCTTGAGCATTTCGCAGGGTTGTCGTCATCACCTTACACAGTGCTGGGTCGAGGCCCTCTGTCGTGACCAACGGTTGCAGCCAGGCGACAACCTCCTTCGGTAGGCTTTTGTTTCCAGTGGTGTTTTGGTTGTTGCATTCTTTTAATCGACTCAGGGACGTGCCGAATGCCCGTGGGAATTGTGCGGAAGTTATCTCGATAGCGGCCGTGGGAAGCATAATATAGCATATCTGTGCGTGGGAACTCTTTGGGTCTGATGCCATCATCGTCTCGACAATGTGACTCAGCACCCTGCGAAGGCAGGGCGTCTTCGTAAACTCGGAGACCATGGTGTAAAAGTCATGGCCAATGGCGGTGTCGTTTCCGAACTGCCTCATAGCGGCATCGAAAATTGCGATTGGGATAGCTCCTGTGAGTGCTGGTGTCGAGTTGAGATTTTCAAGAGCTGCCTCGTCAATTCCATCTTCCTTCTCCAGGCTTGGGTTGATATCTTCTTCCGTCACAACTGGAAGGGCAATAACATCCGCATTCGGATCCGTCGCAGAGTCATCAGCAGTCGCCGACGGAGATTTTCGACTACCATCTAGACCTAGGATCTGCTGCCGCGTCGCAATCCGTGTGATATATATCATCTCAAGTTTAGCATACTGCAGCCAAAGTAATTTAGAGCTCTTGCAAAATCTCAATCCCCGCTGCATATAACTGCGGGCCTGTGTCATATCCCCATGGTCCTCCAGCGCATAACGGGCTGCGCATATCCATAGTTCGACCTTTGTAGGATGTAATCGTAGCGCGTTCATAAAGATCCGCCCCAGCTTCTTATACGCCTTCTGCCTCCGCGCATATTCGATGTACTGCATCCATAGGCTGATATCGCCGTGGAACTTCTTCGTTGCACGGTCGAGAATGAAAAATACCCGTCTCTGACCTGTGTGCATAGGGGATTTGACGCCTAGCCGTTTTACCCGCTTTCTTCGCAGCGTGTCCAGGTTCATCTCATACTCGACATACTGGGCGTAATCTGCAGGCTTGGGACCTGTCGCATTAATTCTATGCTCAAAATCGGATCGCTTTTTCAGGATCGCGGAAATTTCATCCTGAAAAAATGGGAATGATCAATTCGTATTTTGTTAGCATTTGTTTTGGGAGTTGAAATCAGTCGTCCGTCTCACACTCAGCGGGAATGGGAAGGTCGGGGTACCTTTGAAAATATTTTTTTCTTCTCGAACTCTTTAAATTCCGGCACAAGCTGCTCCAGATAGAAGCGCGCTTTATCACTCGCCGTAGCCATGGCTTCGTTTAACCAGAGAGTATCCCTGGGGTTGGTTCTATCGCAAAGCGCTCAAAAAGTTCTCCGTCGCCGAAACGACTGAGCTCATTTATTTTTTGATATTCGGTCCCGGAAAAACAGCTCTACCGGACACTAGCCGCCTTAGGCCTAGACCTTTTCTCTCCCGTCGCCAAACCAACCATCCAAACCATCTTCTAAGTTCTGGCCGAACTCTCGCGAACACGGTCTTTCGGACGACTGACTTCAGGGGCAGTTGTCGGCTTCACCACACAGTTCTCCTCGTGCCTTTGTTTTCTTTTTTCTTTCCTTTTCTTTTTAGGGTACTTTCTCGAGCCTCTTTCCCCTAATTCATATCAATTTTAATGGTTCCCTTGTTCTGTTTGTATTACATGTACTCGCATTAGAGATCAACCCGCTCAACCCCCCTCGCCAGTCTGCTCGCCCGCTACAACCATGGCCCCCAAATTCAAGGACGGAGATACCGTCGTGTCTGTCAGTATATATATATATATATATATCCATATCAGCTATTATCCGGCGCGCGTGTTAATTTTATTAATTTATACTGACTTTGTGAACGAAGATTAATGGCAAATGGGTGTCTTGGGCGCATACTGTAGCCGCCTACACTGCTTTCCTCGGAGCATTGATCGTTGGTATCCGGCTTCACTACCACAAGATTGTCCAAAATGAATATTATGGCTACCCACAAGAATGGTTCCCTTCAGTCTCGGCAACAATTGGCGATCGCTACCCGGAACGCTCCGTCTTCCAGCTGTTTATTGCTATCACATCAGGCCCACGATTCGCCCTCGTATTCCTCTGGTACATCCTCACTGCTCGCCCCAATTCTTCGCTGCCGAAATTCGTCGCTGGGGTAGGGCTGTTCCGGACGTTGACTTGCGGTGGCTGGACATATATCACTTCAACAGATGATCATGATTGGCATGATATATTCATGATCTCATATCTGGTTGCTACACTGCCCTGGACGTTGGGGTGTCTTGCCTTAAGCCCCAATAACCACCAGGCAGTGAAGTATCGGAAGATTCTTGCAGGCGTCTTTTTCGGCACACTTGTACCATTGATATACTACTTCATTCAGCACAAGGTTCACAAGGTCCCTGGTGGTAAGTCAAACGCTGTTCGATTTAAAATTTCTCCTATTTCCCCTTTTCAATCTTCGATTCTAACGTGATAAATTAGCCTACACGAAATATGCCTTCTTTGAATGGGCACTTGTCTTATTTGATGTAGGATTCGACGCAGTTACTGTCCTTGACTTCGGGGCATTCGAAATCGTGGTCAGAGACGTGAAGGGTGTCAGTAGAGGGTATGTTCATTGGCTTCCAAAATAGACAAATGTACACTCTTTATATTTTTTTTCGCCTGGAGCGATGGAAATAGGTGTCTAAGAAATAATATACAGAAGATCAAAGACCGCTGGAGACGCTGTTCTTGAAACCCAGTACGCCTCGCCTTCTTCATTCTCTCTCTCTTTTCCATTCTCCCTATGTTAACCCTAAGTACAGAAAGGATAAACCTGTTGGCCGTACTTTTGGTGAGGGATTTTTCTGGGCAGAAGCGCTTGACGCGGCTGCTGATGTGTACAACGGCGTAAGATGAATATTTAAAACAACTTGCCCTCGCTTGAATATGGACTGATTAGTAGTAGTTCGTCTTCTGGTCCATTCTAACATCTCTTGGTGTTTTGGTGTGGTGTAAGTTTGTCACCGCTGGCTGTATCGTCACCATATTTGAAGAATGGTCCCCTAACTTGTGTTAGACTTCCCACTGTGGCATATGGGCATATCGGGCTATGAAGTCCTTGTGATGGTCTCAGTGTCTCCCTTCCTCCTATCCATTCCAGGACTCCGATCTTTCGCCGTACGCAATGTTCGTATCATCCATCTCCTCTCTCTCAGCGGCCTCCTCGCCTACCTCATCCAACGTCCCGAGTACCGTCTTTTCACAGTTGGATTTTCAGTAGCTATGAGCTGCCTGGCGTGGCCGACGACGTGGTACGGCGAACGGGGCCAACCTGCGCGTCTCGAGGCTCGGATACTAGCATGGGGTTTAGGCCTCCTCGCGTCAAGCGTGGCCAAGTTTGGGGCACACACCAATAATCCAATTTGGCCAATTATGCACCCAGGAAACGGCGGATGGAACAAAACTGCCTTCGTCCTTGCTGTGTTCTCCGTTCTCCGTTCAACACGAAGGGTCACCACAAGCGGCGACTACTTCCCCACCACTGGTAAAAAGAAGGGATCTTCTCTGCTTGCCGCTGCGGGCCTTGGCGGCTTGTTCTTCGCTATGCATTCCCTTTTGTCGGACTCGAGCACTATGATTCTCTGGGTCTGGGAAGGTTTTCCCATTCGAGGACCTATCTCAGTCCCACACGGAGCATATACAATCATCGCGATGGGTGCGGGTTCGGTGCTCGGAGTCTTTTATCCTCGCCTGTCAGGCTCATGGACGGCGTTTGGCATTGGTTCCATTGGGGCGGCTGTGCTCACCTCCTACAGCCATTGGTTCGGCTACTACGGCGCTCTAATACTTGCTATCTATGTGATGGCCGTTTCACCTGTACTCGTCACCTCCGCTGTTCGCCATTCTCCTGCCACGACCTTCGGTCTTGGCTTCCTTATATACAACTTCATGGTGCTGTTCCATGTTTGGGTCGTTGCATACGCTTTCGTTCCCGGCGGTCCACTTGTGAGAGAGCATACCGACTGGGTCATGCTGACCACAATGCTTCTCATTGGTGCTGGTGTATTCTCCGCAGCCATTTCGAATTCCCAGTCTACTTCAGTGAGAGGGAAGAGGTCTATCTCGAGTAACGGAAAGGCGCGATCTTATTACGTTTATGTCCTCACCGTTCTCCAACTGCTATCAATCTCCATAGGATATCTTCGATTCCCCACCAACGATTACACCCCTTACCATAAGGACGAAAAATTGGTCACCGCTGGTATCTGGACTGTGCATTTCTCTCTTGACAATGACATGTGGTCTTCAGAGAGACGCATGCGGGACGCTATCAAGGACCTTGAGCTTGATGTTGTCGGCCTTCTAGAGTCTGATCTCCAGAGAATCATCATGGGTAACCGCGACACCACCCAATTCCTCGCGGAGGATCTGGGAATGTACGTGGACTATGGCCCAGGACCCAACAAACATACGTGGGGCTGCGCTCTGCTCTCCAAGTTCCCCATTCTCAACTCAACACACCATCTCCTCCCGTCTCCAGTTGGTGAGCTAGCACCAGCTATCCACGCTACCTTAGATATGTATGGTGAACATGTGGATGTCGTTGTCTTCCACTCGGGCCAGGAAGAAGATCCAGAAGACCGCCGGCTACAGAGCGAGTACCTTTCGAAACTAATGGCGGAGTCCACGCGCCCCTTAATTCTCCTTAGTTACCTCGTCACGAAGCCTCTTGAGGGTAACTACAACACGTATGTTAGCGAAGCGAATGGGATGAAAGATATCGACCCAAGCGATTGGGATCGGTGGTGCGAGTATATTCTGTACAAGGGAATCAAAAGAACTGGCTATGCGAGAGTGAGTCGGGGAACTATCACAGATACGGAACTCCAGGTATGCCCCTATGTCTTCTCAGCTAATTCTAACCCGGTGGTTTTCTGCATGCTTTGCTAACGTGATACGGGCTCTTAACCTTAGGTTGGTAAATTCATCGTTGGTCAACCGGAAGATACATCCAATGTCCGCATTTCGGAAGAACATGTACCTCCCGCGCTGCGATTCCCAGCTCTCTTCCGGGGCCAAGGCGTCCGTGGCCATAGGTATCATGTATTTGACGAGCCGCGCTACTTTGCTTAAGTAATATTGCATTATCTTTAGATTTCTGTGTCTATACATTTCCCTTTCTCCCCCGCCCCCCCCTTTTTTATATATATCATATTATTTTACTTTTCTTCATTATGTATTTATTATCTCTCTTTTCCGGTCGTTAATTTCTCTTTTCCTTTTCCGAAGTCGGCGAGAGGATACTCTTTTGTGTAGAGCTTCAAGGTGGCGAAGAAATATAACAAGTCATAATTGCTTATAATGCTCGGTTCTGGAAGCCTTTTATATAGATAGACGTTTAACAGTCGTATATTCCTAAAAAACTCGTACCAGAAAGGATTCAGTCATGTGACAGCTGTGTGGCCAATAGCATCATATTGGCCGACTCGAGCTTTCCAAGGTTCCATGCCCTAGGCTAGGGCCCATAACGTCATTGCCCCGATCCTCTCCCGCTCCTGTATGAATGCTTGCGACCGATGGGGGAGGGAAAAGCAAGGCTTGGAGCGAGAGAGACCCAAGCATATACTATGTACTAAACGTCATAAGATGTCTGTCTCTTCTTTGCTTCCTTCTCCGCTTCTCTCCTTGTTCCGCTTCGTATAAATATCGAACCGCCATCCCGCCTACGCTTAGCTATATAGTAGCGATTTGATAAGAAGCGAAAAAAAAGGCTGCATTGTACCCAACACATATTCCAAATTCTCAATCCCTCTCTCCTCCTTATTCTCCCAAATCCGATATCTAGGTAGCTAGCGGCGAAAAAGCAAACCAGGTCGGAAAACGCTACCACCCCTGGACGCAAAACCACCACAACATCAAAGCTCCTTCGAAACACACGAAACAAACTACATCAAAGAAGCAACAATGTCCAAGTCCCGTATGCCAATGTACTTAGGCCTTGCCGCCGCTGGTGCTGGAGGGTATTATCTATACCGTACCGGAGGTGATCCCAAGAGAGCCACCCGGCAACTCGAAAGTGGGTGCCCATGTTTTCCCCAGCAGCATATCGTTAGCTATAGAACATATGCTTGCTATTTATCGTTCCAAAAAGGAACTAGAAATTCCCCGTACCCCCATATCAAAAGCAGATCATCGAGACAGAGAATGTCAAGCTGACCAAGTGGCGTGGGATGTGTTTTTCGATTGCTTTTATAGATGATGCTTCTCGCGCAGGATCAAAAATCCGAGACGAAAGTAACAAGGCCCTGGGCCATGGGAGTGCTGAACAGATTGGAGCAAGGATAGATGAAGCGGTGAGTGTCTGAATTCTGAATACGTCCTGTTTTGTCATTTCGTTTCCAAGATTCCCTCTCTTCCTTGTTCCCTTACCGTATCTTGGGAGTATGTACAACAGCTCTCCGCTCTGTCCTCTCCAAAATCCCATGAAAAGGGCCACACGTCGACAACTTATCCCTATTTACTTCCCTGTTTCTCTTTGTTTGCCAAACTCATTACTAATGTAACCATCGGCCCCAAGCAGGATGAGAAGGCCACCACCTTTGCCAAGGAAGAAGCTGAGAGGCTCGGCAAAGCCCGTCAGGACGTTGCCAAAGATGTAAATGCAAAGATTGACTCGTTCGATAAGACCGTTGAGCAGAAGGCGGCTGAAGCTAAGAGTGGAGTCTCCTCTTGGTTTGGTGGGAAGAAATAACAGCAGGTATAGTTAATGACGGGGATCCGGCGATTTGAGAATGATTTCGAAATGAAAAGTGGCTGAAACCTCGTTCCTTTCATTTCCTCCCGTTTCAAATTTTCAACTTTCGTTTTGTGACCCCTGGCGAAATATGAGGCTTTAGTTGGTTATGCTTTTTTGCTTCTCTTATGTTTATTTCGCGGTCGAAATTCCAATCGTCTCATGATCCAGTGTGCATAGTCCCTGAAATATGTCGAATATGACCGCTTTATAACGTTCCATGCAGTGTGAAATGCATAAAGCCAGTGACACGAGAAGGTACCCGACAGCCACGAATTTTCCTGTTTATGGAGTTGATGCCGGGAATTGTGAGAGTGTGGTTGTTGAGTATTTGTCATAAGTGAAGGCAGTGAGTTTTGATATGGTTCTTGAACCGAAATTGTATGTCAGATGTCAGTCATCATTCATGTGTTCAGATATATTTATAACCTTCTAGTTTAAATTCAAGGACCAGTCGACCTTGTTACAGCATTAAAGAGGTTTTCAAAAGGATGAGGAGGGAGGGACATGGCGGCTTCATGGTCGGCCAAGATATTTCCCTCTTCCACCTGTTCTTCAATACCGTAGACATCTCCATGCAATGTGATTCTGTCCAAATATGTACACAGTATGACAAAATCCATATCATATCCAGGGGTTCTTCGCAATTTAGCCTAATTAGGCAAGGCGTCAAGGTTGAGGCCATGTCGCGTCAAGTTTCGCGCGCGTCGCGTCGACCAGATCCGGACCACTTTAAAAATGATCGTCGTAAACAAAAACTCCACAGTGCAAATATCCCTTCATCCTTTATGCCCATATCCCATAACTCTTAACCCTCTTAGTGCTCCTTTGAACATCCATTATCTTCTTCCATCCTCATTGCCATATTTACAGAGTAGCTCCTTACCTTCAACAATTATCTTAATTCTCTATAAAACAACCCCGAAGGAAAGCATTATGGGCGCTAAGCTCCTTCACTCCCGCCCCTCGAGAGCTTCAGCCCGCCGCCTTCCACCACAGCAGAGCGCGATACAATCATTTGCAAAGACTACAAAATCAGGGGCAAGGGCAGGAATATCTGATGCCAAAGAGGCCCTTTCCTCGAAGAAGCGCAAAGTCGAAGGTATCCAGGTCGAGATTAGCAGCAGCAATGAGCCGGAGAACTCATGCGATGAGGACGCCGGTGCAAGAGCGTCTAAAGTAGCAAGGCGGAGCAGGCTCTCTACCTTCTTATCTACGTCCCATTCTTCCTCTTCATCATATATTACGCCACATTCGACATCTCCCGTAACCTCAACGGAGAGTATCAGTCCACCCACAACAGATAATAGCACATTCCAGCAAACCCCATCCGATACCGATACCGATACCGACACCGCTGAGATATTAGATAATAACGAGGACGACAGACCTGAATCTTACTACGATCTCACAACCCTACATTCTTCTTTTCTTACCGCCCTATCACTACATTATGCTCATAATAGCCCAAGCACACCTGCGGATCTCAACCAACTACTTCCTTGCATAGAGAAGATATGGAAGAAACGTAGGGTCGAGAGGCAGGACCTACAAAGATTACTATATATATTAGAGAGTGGCCCTAAAATATCAGCCGACGAGGGGGATCCAAGCGCAAGCACGCGCTTTAGAATCGCCAAATATGGTGTCGGAAAGACCTGCTTGGAGTTACTAAATACAAATATCTCGAGAAATACATTCGGTCCTCCATTCAGCGAAGCGGAGTTGAACAATCAATTTACTCGCAACCTGGAATGCATCTGGCAAGGGAAGCTAGAAAGTTCTGATCAGCAACGATCAAACATCGATTTCCTACGCACCATTCCACTCGCGCCCATCCACGACTCAACCACCACCTTTCACTCGTTACGCATTGGACAACAACGCCTTCTCGATTTCCAAAAGGGAGTATTAGGAGTGAAAGCGATAGTCGATAATCCCGCAAGCGGCAAACGCGATGGAGGAGCAGCAGCACGTGCAAGAAGCTCAGGTGGTACCGGCACTGCAGGACGACGGAATGGGCTTCTTCAAAGGATCCAGAACAAACAACTCAAACAGACGACGCTCGCCCCGCCGCCGACAAAGGACGCGATCCTACGTCGTTCAGCCATTGATCTAGTTGAAGAAGTCGTTGGCGTGTTGATTTTATTGAGGCCGTCGTGTTCGTCTGCGTCTTCTTCTCTCCTGAGCGGGGAAGGTGGGTCGCTATCCTCCGCCACGGCTGTTGCGCCGTCTCACAAGAAGCCGTATAGATGGAACACCATTATCCAAAATATTCGAGATTCCTTGAGATGTCCGATTTCAAAGCTAGAGGCGGAAGCCTGTTTGGATCTCCTGGCACAGCCGTCGGTGGCTGGGGACTGGATCAGTATTGTTACCGTTAATAGAATCAAGTCTGTCGTGTTGAGGTCTGGGAGTGATATATCACCGCAGGAGATTGGCATGAGAGTGGCGCGATTGGAGACCTGATTGTTTCTTCGGATTTTTTCCCCCTCTTTTCTTTCTTCGATATCTTGGTGTGGTGTCTTGCGTATGGCACTCGTTGCATTTCATTTTTTGCATATAAACGGCGTTCAGGTGGTTTTCATCATAGAGCATTCATTGTCTGCTTCGACATGCACCCCTAGGTGCATGTACGGGCATGTATATATTAGATCAGAGTCTGGATAGGGAGCCTCCTAGAATTCTCCTTAAAGGCGTGTACACCACCGACTCTTATACCCAATAGAACGGAACACGTTTCTTACAATTATATTCCCATCTTGTAAAGTACAAGATCTTGATGCTCATTAATAATCCCCATGGCCCAACTCTGTTCCAGAATTTCTGCAAGAGCATCTGCACTGCAAACGGCGAATACATAAATTGGGAAGGGCTCCGGCCTACCCCTGGGAACGTCAGGCTCAAAAGGATACATTCCATAATAATCTAATCTTCTTAATTCGAGGTAGCATATATCTCCTAGCAATACTCACTGGCCGGTAGACAATAGTTAGGCATCAAAAAAAGGCTACGAAAACATGACTTGCACATGTACATCTGCGGTGAATATCAGGAAGGCTTTTCATCCATCCGCCCATGGCATGGACCGTGAACATCAATTCGCCGCCGCTCCTTTATTTATTTCCTTCAGTCCAGCTTTCATGAGAGGCGACTGCAACACCTTCTGCCAGTCATGCAACATCTCCGTGTTCGTTGTTGAGAGACGTGCTTCCCACCAACCCGATGAATCATCTCTTCCTCATATGACGAGATTGCCGCCGCCTGTGTGGACTGCTTAGAGGTACGTACACTTCAAGATTGCCTCACACAATTTAGCTGCATCAGTCACGGAGTGATTTAATCCCTGCCCACGCTGGTAAGTCATCGTGTGCGCCGAATCACCAGCAAGCGTGACGCGGCCACCAAGGGTACCCCAGCGATTTCCAGCCGCTCCCGGGTCAAAATCATGCAGGCAGCTATACCACACCTTGCAATCAGCACTGGCCCACTCAAAAGCACTTTTTAATGGATCCGTGAACGTTCGAGAGAATCCTTTGACTTGGTCAAGGCGCTGGGCATCCGTGCAGTCTGCCGTTCTGTCTTGCTCTTCCAGGCTGGAGTACCATGATATATAGAAGAAGAATGTCCAATGTCTCAGGCCAATCTGGATCTGCAGCGTCTTGCATTCCAAGTAATGAGAAGAAACCGGCCGGGTGGATGGCAGCTATGTAAAGCGGGTGGAACTCACGTATGAACAGTGCTTGTTCACGGGTAAATTTGGAGTGGATAAAGGTTGCACAATATGGGAGACGTCGGACGGCAGCCGGATCTGGTCCGAGCAAAAGCTGTCGCACGCTTGACCTAGCGCCGTCAGCGCCCACTGCTAGGTTCGCGGCGATCGAGGAGCGATCATTTAAATATAAGGATAGAATCGACAATCAATGAGGATATGGTCAACACCTTTTGCTGATTGGTCCCGACTCCGCGGAGTCTTGGCAAGAGCTTAAAGTTATTAGCGCGAAAACTGAACCGGAAACGGGCATAATTGCCTGGACGACGCGAACACGTAGTCATGTGATGCTTCTCAACTTGGCATCGCGTCAAGCTATTAACGACTTTTACGTGTGTGTAGGTACTATATATTATTATTTCCAAGACAGAGGTCGAGTCTACTTCCATGCCATAACATATTATATATCGCTCTTAAAATGGCTTCGCGACCGGAACTGAAGGTGATACAAATTCCCTCAATTTCACTGCTCCTCTTTTTTAACTTGTCCTCGCTGGAATCTCAGAGCCGTAATCTAACCCTGCAATACTTATTTAGGTAGACGACGAGGGGGGCTTTATCCGATTCTTCCGATCACTTCCAGCCAAAGATGACTCCTCCACAATTCGCGTCTTCGATAGGGGCGACTTCTTCACTGCCCATGGCCCCGATGCCGAGTACATCGCTCGGGCAGTCTATAAAACCACCTCTGTTCTCAAGTCCCTTGGGCGCAGTGATACAGGCGGCTTACCTTCGGTAACCATGACTGTGACCGTTTTCCGCAACTTTCTACGCGAAGCCCTTTTTCGATTAAGCATGAGAGTGGAGATCTGGGCGTCCCAGGGAGGCGGGAAGGCGAACTGGAAACTGGCCAAGCAAGCTAGCCCGGGCAATCTCCAAGACGTTGAGGAAGAACTGGGAGCTGGTGGTGTGGCAATGGATTCAGCACCAATCATCCTTGCAGTTAAAATATCCGCTAAAGCGTCTGAAACAAGGCAGGTCGGCGTCTGTTTTGCTGATGCCAGTGTCAGGGAGCTGGGCGTGAGTGAGTTCGTAGATAACGATCTCTATTCCAACTTCGAGTCCCTGGTCATTCAGCTAGGAGTCAAGGAGTGTTTGATTACCGCGGAGACGCAAAAGAAAGACGTTGAGCTGGGAAAATTGCGATCTATTTTAGATAGTTGCGGAATCGCTATTTCGCAGCGCCCTATGGCTGATTTCGGGACAAAGGATATCGAGCAGGATCTTTCAAGGTTGTTGAGAGATGAGAGAGCTGCTGGGGCATTACCGCAAACAGATTTGAAATTGGCGATGGGGTCTGCTGCAGCTTTGATCAAGTACCTTGGCGCCATGTCTGACGCAACAAATTTCGGCCAATATCAGCTATACCAGCATGATTTATCGCAATACATGAAGCTAGATGCTCCGGCACTCAGAGCATTGAACTTAATGCCTGGCCCACGGGATGGCGCGAAAAATATGAGTCTGTATGGGTTGTTGAACCACTGCAAAACTCCAGCGGGGAGCCGATTATTAGCCCAATGGCTAAAACAGCCCCTAATGAACCATGAGGATATCGAAAAACGGCAGCAACTAGTGGAAGCCTTCGTAGTTGATACGGAGCTCAGACAAACCATGCAAGAAGATCATCTACGATCCATCCCCGATCTTTACCGACTTGCGAAACGATTCCAACGCAATCTGGCCAATCTGGAGGATGTGGTTAGAGTATATCAGGTTGTGATCAGATTGCCTGGATTTATCAACACGCTTGAAAGTGTCATGGATGAGCAATATCAAGGTCCCCTCGAGGCGGAGTATACCGCCAAACTACGCAATCTCTCAGATAGTTTCAGCAAACTTGCGGAGATGGTTGAGACTACAGTAGATTTGGATGCGCTGGATAATCACGAATTCATAATCAAACCGGAATTCGACGGTAGTCTCCGGATCATCAGAAAGAAGCTCGACAAGTTGAAGCATGATATGGACGTGGAACATAAGATTGTGGGAAAAAACCTAAATCAAGATACGGACAAAAAACTATTTCTTGAAAATCACCGTGTCCATGGATGGTGCTTCAGGCTGACACGAAATGTAAGCTCACCTGCCCCCTCGTTTCTGCTGTTTTTCAGTATGCTAATTTCTATCTTTAGGAGGCCGGTTGTATTCGAAACAAGCGAGAATACCAAGAGTGTTCGACACAGAAGAACGGCGTATATTTCACGACATCGACAATGCAATCCTTCAGACGAGAGCACGACCAGCTTTCTTCAAACTATAATCGAACCCAGACCGGCCTAGTGCAGGAAGTGGTAAACGTTGCAGCGTCCTACTGCCCATTGTTGGAACAGCTGGCCAGCGTTCTAGCGCATCTTGATGTGATCGTCAGTTTTGCTCATGTATCCGTTCATGCGCCTACGGCATACGTAAGACCCAAAATCCACCCTCGAGGAACAGGAAATACGGTCTTAAAGGAAGCTCGTCATCCATGTATGGAGATGCAAGACGACATATCTTTCATCACGAACGATGTTTTCCTGTTACGTAACGAGTCATCGTTTCTCATCATTACGGGCCCCAATATGGGTGGTAAGTCTACCTACATTCGACAAATAGGCGTGATCGCTCTCATGGCGCAAACCGGTTGTTTTGTGCCATGTTCCGAAGCTGAACTCACTATTTTCGATTCTATCCTTGCTCGAGTGGGTGCCAGTGATTCTCAACTTAAAGGAGTCTCAACGTTCATGGCGGAAATGCTTGAAACCGCCAATATATTGAAATCAGCGACGTCAGAGTCCCTAATCATCATTGATGAGCTGGGTCGCGGGACGAGCACTTATGATGGTTTTGGTCTCGCCTGGGCAATATCCGAGCACATCGTCACGGAAATCAGATGTTTCGCGTTGTTCGCCACCCATTTCCATGAGCTAACAGCGCTGCAAGAGCAGTACCCCAATTCGGTGAAAAATCTGCACGTTGTAGCCTTTATTGGTAACGGGACAGAGCAAAAGGAGAATGATAGTACTGGCAAATCGAAGCGAGAGGTTACCCTTCTATACAGGGTAGAGCCGGGTGTTTGTGATCAGTCATTTGGCATCCATGTGGCCGAGCTGGTTCGCTTCCCAGAAAAGGTTGTGAACATGGCACGCCAAAAAGCGGAGGAGTTGGAAGATTTCACTTCGAGCACCATCGACAATGCACAACAGTCAGCCACCTTAGATGGGTACTCCGCGGAAGAAGTCGCGGAAGGGAGTGCTTTGTTAAAAGCAATGCTGCTGAAGTGGAAAGCCAAGTTAGAAGAGCCGGGCAATGAAAGCCTTACCATGGAGGAGAAGACGAAGATAATGCAGGATTTGGTACAAGCAGATGACAAGCTACGGGCCAACAAGGTATTTCAGGGTATTAAGGCCCTATGATTCAAATCCTGCGATTACCTTTTTTTTCGCTCTATTTTGTTACCCATTTTTCTTACTTTTCGTCACCCTTTGAGTTCTTGGTTTGGCGTTTGCAGAACGGGGTAATTTTTTCCCTCCATATATCGGGTTTAGGGAGGTATATGTCAATATAATTAAATTTAATCTGTCAAATGGCTTTTTTCAATGTTTTTTTCAGTGTCAAGGCTTAATTCCACATAATACTTATTTTATAATCACGCACCAATTGCACTAGTCCTAATATAGTTAAAGTAGATTTAATCAGACTTGGCAACATATAGAGTATTACAGCTCTGTAGAAGAATCCTCCTCTCAGGTGTATAGAGCCTCCCACCCTGAGTATAGAGGCCCTCAGGTATATAGATATAGAGTTCTCCTGTGTATAGAGCCCTCTGAGTATAGAGGCTCTCTGGATACAGGCTCTCTGTGTATAGAACCTCAGGGTATAGAGACCTCTGACTCTCTGAGCATAGAGGCCTCTGAATATATATTTCCATAGACTGTCCCAGGTTGAGAGCCCTCCACTGATGTGGGTCATACAACCTCCAATGAGGAGATCTTGATTGCTAATACAATCAGTTATCATTAAATATGTGGTATAAAATATCCATTTGTCACATTTGTCACTATAGACTGCCGTATTCAAGCTGCCATATCAGGTGATATACAACCCTCCAAGTTCCAACCTTAATCCACCCAAGGAGCTCAACAACGTCTGTCAGACAAAACGAAATCTTGCAAGCTCCAACCTTTTTCTATAAATCCCTTGTGCTCATCTGTGATATCGATTTGGTTACTCCTAATCCCGCGCTGTACCTCACTCGGGAATCTACGAAATCTAGAAAACAACAGCGTGCGACTGGCCACATCAAAAGTTATTTTGTCTCTTGGAAGCTTCCTCCCTTTTAACTTTCTCTCCAAGCATGCACGAACGATAGATCTTAATTAATGCACCCTTTCTCAGTCCTCGCGCTTGGCATATTCGTAGCAGGCTACATCACTGCGCGGTGGGATTTAGTCACCCGGCTGTACGAGTTGGCCATATTTGCCTGGGATCACGGTGTGGTTGTACGTTTCAATTTCTCGCCGATCAAGAAGAATGAACACTACCTTGCCACAGCGCATATGGATACTGATAGTCGAAAAACGGATTCTTCTAGACCCGCACGGCGAAGGGCTTTGCTGTCCTTTCCATCTTTTATTTTCTTGTCATCATCCCAATCAATTTGATTGTGGCGCGAGAGATCAATTCGGTAAACCTCCCTGGCGCATTTCCTTAACTGGCAAGAGCCCGATTCACTCACAAATTGCCTAGCATCCTCGTGCTGTAAGCCACGGAATATCGGCGCGGGAACAATTACGGCGCCGTGGCTCGTTCTAAAGACTGGAGAATGATAAGATGCTGAGTGATGGTTTGCTGCGAGTGTTTTGGCCAAATGACATTCCAAAGTCCACCTCGCCCGGTGTGATCGTGGGTTGGAGGAACTCTGAATTTGATCTTTTCGTTCTCACAGTCTTCGAGCATGTGGAAGTACGTGCTGTTTACCCCTCGTCTGTGCAACAAGTTTCTGACGAGCTGATTTTCTCGTAGCCACGGAATGTCGACAACGCGCTGCGAACTGGCATCCTGTTCCGCAATAGCCCCCATCCGATATCTCGGATAATGGCCCTTTGCGGGAAGCATGCAATGCATGTTTTGGGCTCGACAAATCCTACCGAGCTACCAACGGCATTTACTCCGTCCCATCTATATATTACATGGAACCCTTCTTCTAAAGTGCCCCGGATCTTTTGCCCACCTGAGACCAAGCTTTCTATCCAGATTATCACGTTTAACCGTCCACATCCCACGCGCATGCAATATATGTCCTTACGACCTATATCTTTAATTTTGGAAGACAAACCATCGAATTTGGAAAATACGGGAGAAATCTTGGACGATTTTGATCAAGCAGAAGTTAAGGCAAAGGCGCAAACTCGAAAACTTGTCAACAAGTTGAAATTACATACCGTGGTTAGGCATGTTCCTTCACCAAAGGAACAGATCCTCCCGGCAATTATCAACCAGGTTAACTGCTCTTTCGAAATGGAGAAACTGCTTGTTAAAAACGTGGGCTTGATCGGAGCGCGACCGAAGCGCAGCCTAAGCGTCAGTGAACGCGTGGTTGAGTCTGCTAGCTCGGCATGGGACTTTCTCTACATGACTTTGTCATACATATTTCTAGAGTGGATTTATCCGGTCATAACGCAAGGGTTTATCGCGGTGCTTATCAGCCATCGAGTAATAGCAGAGGTTGTATTGGGTGTGCTGGAGTGGCGAGCTCGCCCAGACGCAGCTGCACTGAAGGACATATCTGCGACAGCTCAGCAGATTGACATACGACTGCAGCAATTTTGTTACTGGCCGATCCAATATCTGACATTGCGCAAGCGGAAAGACGACTGGGAAAGTGTGACGAACAGCCACGCAGACTATATAAGGTTCTACAACAGCCTTTGGTTAGTGGCTAATGATGTGATCATTGGCATTGCTCTTGGGTCATACATCATAGATAATGCCGACTGGGTAGCGTCGCAAATCAACTCGATTCTCACTTGGTGGACCGTCGAGGGTTTGCAGCGGACAATATCTTGGCTCATGGGCTGGCCTGCAGGTTTGAAGCTAAATAATGAGCTTGCTGTTTTCATGGGAGATTTGTTTTTATGGGTTATAGAACATTGGGCTAGTGAGTTACAACAAGACGACCCCCATGTAGATTGTCGTTGCAAACTAAACTTTTCTAGGTGCACTCGCAAACCTTCGACCGTTTCTCCGTCATGTAATCTATATGATTGGTTGCTCCGGCTTTGCCGGGGCGAGCATGTCCATGGCGATGTTCTCGGACCTGTTGTCGATATTAACGGTCCATATCTATTCATTCTACATCGCGTCTGCCCGCATTTTTAATTGGCAACTAACAATCATTATATCCCTCTTCCACCTTTTCCGCGGCAAAAAACGAAATGTTCTTCGTAACCGGATAGACTCATGCGACTATGACCTCGACCAACTGCTCTTGGGCACGATTTTGTTCACGCTTCTCTTTTTCCTCCTACCCACAATAATTGTATTTTATCTTACCTTTGCTTCTGCCCGTATGATTATAATATCCCTCAAGGCAGCTCTGGATACTTGCCTTGCTTTTTTGAACCATTTCCCGCTTTTCGCGGTGATGCTGCGCGTGAAAGACCCCGGGCGTTTACCAGGTCAGATCTTACAATCGTTTAATTCATTTTGCGCAACATTTTCCAACGAAGTTCTAATTTTTTCCTCGGGTAGGTGGTATTCATTTCTCACTCAGGAAAGCCCCTTTGCCAAACCCTACCTCTAAGGCAGAAGAAATACTTTCAACCTCTACCTCGTACATCCACCTCCAGGTTTGTCTCTGATCCCATCCCATTCCCTTCCCCGAAATACAACTAACCTTCTACAAAGCCCATCCCCCTTTCCCTCCGCCAAATGTTCGACCAATATTTCCAGCTCGGTCACCGTCTCCGCAAGCACTACCTCTCACCCAGCGTCATCCTCTGCCTTGTGACGGGTCGCTTCGTGCCACCAATACACCGACGTAACATGTACAGCCTGCAGTATAGCATGCTCCCCGCGCAGCGCGTCGGGATCGTAGAGGTATGGTCGCGTTTGACGGAGAAAAAGACCCGGACGGCAAATGTGATGGCGCCCATGCCGAAGATCCCGAATGGATTTCCGTATGACAGGAGAAGGGCATATCGGTCGTAATTGATAGTGGAACGGGAAAACAGCTAGAGTAGGTCACGATTACTTGTCTACCTCCCTCGATGCTACTAGTCGTTTAAGCGAGAAAACCGTCTAAGGCCGACGTATATGAGCGTGTTCTGGACGATTATTTTATTCAATAAAATATTTAGCCTATCAATAATTCAATATTCTATTTATATAATGATGAAGTTTCCATCTTCAAGCCTGTAGTAGATTTTCATCCTAATTTACATATAAACGTATCTTAACTCACTTCACATGGGATTATGTGGTAGGACGGACCCTGAAGACGAGTTGAGCGAACGAGCAACGCAGAGAGAGCAAAGCAAGTTATGATGTAAAAAGGCTCTCTATAGCAAGGATAGAAATTACTTGGAGGTAGGAACCTTGGAAGGCTGAGGAATGTTCACAAAATAGATACATCAAAGAAAATTCTCATAAAGCAGAAGCAATCATGAATCATGAAACTGAATTTCATCTAAATCAAAGCAGCAAACAGACTAAGGAACCTTGGAATACAAGAGCAAAGATTCACCAGGGCAACATTGTCACTGTTTCCTGTGCGCATGAGGTGAAAATCAGAGAGAACCACAATATCTGAATATAAATATAAACATATTCTTTCACACACCGACACACACACTCTCACACAAGAGAACAAGCTCAGCTCACACCACATTCTTTCATCCAACACTCCCACAGCCACAACTTCCCACGCCAGCTTATACACACCAACACCATACCATAAAATGCATGGAAAGTGGACAGCTGAAGAAGACATCTTCGTTACAACCCTGCGGCTAGGCACGGATTTCAATTGGCGGGAAATCGAAACTGAATTCAACAAAAGGTTTCCCTCAGCCACGCCCAAAGACCTGGAGTCGAGATACAACAAAGGCTTGAAGCCAGGCAGACACGTTCCAGTGGATCAAAGGCGAGTATCGGACATCATCGACGACTACCGACACTACGGGCCGCTGGAGGGAGAAACCTCTGCTGCAAGGGAAATTTTGCAACAGGCACTGTACATCCTGGACTGGTATCCTCTGCGTCGTTTATGGCATTAAGATATCGAGCTAAGAGGTATGTTCTCTTTCCAACGGCATTCTGTTGTCTATTGTTCTGCCCGCTTGCTGGGTGGGCCGGCTTCTAGCCTTCTCGAACGACAATTTCCTTTTTTTCTTTCTATATCGTGTCGATGTCC